CCGCGCGTCCCGGATGCACTTCCGGAAGGACAGAATAACCCTCAGGTACTTTTCTATCTTACGATTTGGAGGGTACTTTTTGAGAAATGTCCTCACGGGCTGTACTGCGAGCAACTGTCCGGTTCGGCGTTTACGGCTCCGCGACACTCCAATAAACGCAGGTTCGTAATAAAATTGTTTATATGTACGAGTAAAAGTGTTTCTTTGCCTTTGGTTTTGGTAAAGCAAGCTAGCAGGGGTTTTTGAGGAAATTTACGCTATTTTCCTTTCCTTGCCCTGTTTTTGAAGTTTTTTTTACTCCAAGCAAGCTAGCAGCGTTCTAGTGGAATACAGCAGACTTATTTATTTCCTTAGGTGGTTTTATTTATTTTTTATTAAGGAAAACTAAGAGTCTCTTGTAGAATTCTGACAGACATTTTTCCTTTCTCCATAACTTCAGTTTTCTGAAAAACGGGGGTGTTGAAGCGCGCCATCCTTGTTCGGCCTTCGAATAAAGAAAAACCGGTCCCAGGGGCCCATTTTGGACATCTACGGCCAGGGGAGCGGAGAAAGGAAAAGGGCCCATCCCCTCCTCGGCGGCTCTAATCAAATTTGGAAGGAATCGACGGCCCGTGGGGGGACCCCGTCGAATCCTCGAACCCCCTCCATTCCGTTTAGGGCAACGGCGCCGCGCCTAAAATGCGCCCCATCTCGGGTTTCTGCCTCACATTTCTATGCGCATTTTTAGCCACCCAATTTGATGTTGGAAATTTGGGATTGAATCAACGCTAACTGTAAATTTGTAACGTATAAAATTTCATATTGCATGTTTGCTTCCATAATTTCTTGTTTTATTTTTAACATTTAGCTGGCTGTACCGCATCCGCCCGTCCGTCATCCACCGCCCGTTCGAGCCGTTCCAGCAATCGGCAAAGTGTACGAACGACTACCCGAGACATGCAAAATCGGCCAATCCGAATCAATTCCGCTGGCATCCGCATCCGATCCCGGAGAAGCCGACCGATTTTGTCGAGGTTGATAGTTGTGAGCAAGGTAGCAGGAACATTGGGGAAATGTTTAATATAAAAAATTACCAAAAAAAAAAAAAAATAAATTTAAAAAATTTTAAAAAAAAAAAAAAAAAAAAAAAAAAAAAATAAAAAAAAAAAAAAAAAAAAAAAAAAAAAAAAAAAATTTTAATTATTTAAATTAAAAAAAAAAAAAAAAAAAAAAAGAAAAAAAAAAAAAAAAAAAAAATTAAAAAAAAAAAAAAAAAAAAAAAAAAAAAAAAATTTGCTAATTATAAAAAAAAAAAAAAAAAAAAAAGAAAAGAAAAACCCCATTCAAAAAAGCCTCTCTTCTTTTCAGGGTCTCTACACGGTATGCGGTGGCGGGGATATCGTCTCTCGTTCCGGCCTCACCATCCATCTCTATGGTTGCAACAAAACGATGGACCATCGTGCCTTCTACAATTCAGATGGCGATTTCTTGATTGGTACGGTAGTAGGGGCCTTTTAGCAATTCTTTCAGTTCCCCAACAAGGCGCCCTGGAGGTGACCACCGAGTTTGGGCGACTTCTCGTCGGGATTCAGGTGTGTTTTAGCGCTCGTAAAAAGTAATATAGCTAAAGTAATCCATTTTTTGTGAATCTCAGTTTTCTTAAATTTTTTAAACCGTATTTTAGGAAATCTGCGTGATTCCGCAGGGCGTTCGCTTCTCGGTGGCCGTCCGAGGCCCATCGCGCGGTTACATCCTCGAGGTGTACGGCACTCACTTCCAGCTCCCCGACCTCGGGCCCATTGGTAAGTCGGATAGGGTTACGGTACCAAGGGCGCCATTTAGGTGCCAACGGACTGGCGAACCCGCGCGATTTCGAGACCCCGGAAGCATGGTTCGAAGAGAGGGACGAGCCGTTCGAGATTGTCAACAAGTACCAGGGGTCGTTTTTCTCGGCCAAGCAGGTCAGTGAAAAAAGAAAAGGAATCCTAAGGGATCTCTGCTAGCCTGCCGCTAATAGTAAAATTTTCAGGAGCACTCGCCTTTTGATGTGGTCGGCTGGCACGGCAACTACGCGCCCTACAAATACGATCTGCGCAAGTTTATGGTCATCAACGCCGTGGCGTTCGACCATGCGGTAGGGGTTTAGTTTATGCTCTATTAAATTCATTAAATATAACTTAAATAACTAAATTAGCGAAGTAGAATTTTTTTTTTTATAATAATAAACTCCTTTTTTTTTTTTTTATTTTTAAAACCTTTTTTTAATTTTTTGTGGTTGGTTTATTTTTTTGGAAAAATTGATTAAAAAATAAATAAATGAAAGAAAAAAAAAAAAAAAAAAAAAAAAAAAAAAAAAAAAAAAAAGAAAAGCGCAAAAAGGAAGGTAAAAAGAATGAATTTTTTTTATAAATTATATAATAAACTTGCTAATTATATGTTTTAAAACAGATTTAATTAATCACACTTTAGGACCCATCAATTTTCACGGTCCTCACCGCGCAATCGACTCGTCCCGGAGTGGCCATAGCCGATTTCGTGATCTTCCCCCCGAGATGGGGAGTATCTGATCACACGTTCCGACCCCCATATTACCATCGTAAGTAGCCTAATATCGTCCAAATTCCATTCCTATTTTCCCAAAAATCCCTGCTAGTTTGCCCTAAAAACCCAAAAATTTTCCAGGCAACTGCATGTCGGAGTATATGGGGCTGATCGTCGGCAGCTACGAGGCCAAGGAGGGCGGATTCAAGCCGGGCGGTAGGAAAATATATCTAAATTTGCATGAAAAGTTTCAAGGCGGTTCCCTGCACTCGATGATGACGCCGCACGGTCCGGATTACGCCTGCTTCGAGGGGGCCAGCAATGCTGAGCTTCAGCCGCAGAAGGTTGCGCATGGCACTATGGTGGGTAAAGATATCCAAGAAAAAGGGGGTAGGCTAGCAGAGGTTATTGGAGAATTTTTGGAAAAAATTCTATACGAAGCTTGGCGCCCGTAAGCAGCAATGCGCGGTTTGACCTCAAGGAGGCCTAGCCCCCTCTCGACGGGTCATCCTCTTGGCTCATTGGTTATGCTCTCGCTTATCACCCGCAAGGCCAGGGTTCGACAACCGCGCGAGTCCATCGTTTTTTTGCTAAAAAATCCCCAAATTTCCTCCGCCAGCTCTCCTAAAAAGTATTCGCCCTCTTTTTTTAGTCATTCATGTTCGAATCGTCGCTCTCGATGGTAGTGACCGACTGGGCGCAGGAGGAGAACGTCGACAAGGACTACTACAAGGATTGGCAGCCGCTCACCAAGCACTTCCGCCTCCCCGCCAAGAAGCACTAGGGGCCCGTGCGGACATTTTGGAGACTGTAGATGGGAATAAATGGTTTTTCTATATTCTTGTCTGTTATTTTATTACCAAGGTTTAATACCCGGAGATATTTAGGAATGTCCCATTTTCTGTGTTTAAAAACGAGTAATTGGTTATTAAATCGAGTTTTTAAGCGATGCAAGCGAGCACCTCGAACGGATACGCGAAATATCAGATCAGATCGTCAGGTTTGGGCCAATTTCATGGCGTAATTGGATGTGTTTAGGGATCGGTCGGGTGTTGGCCGAGGAGAGTACGGTATTTACGATTGAAGACCATGAAGAAGGGGAAGGGAATACTGTAGGAAGAGGAGGGCAGATGCAGGTGATTCCCCAAGAATCTTTGTTGGTTATTTAAAGGGGGGGCAAGGGATGGCTTTCAATTTTGCAGGCGGTGGATTTTAATTTTTGGTTTTATGGTTGAAATTGAATATTACAAAAATTGGGATCCAAAGCAGTTTTTTATACGTTTCCGCGCGGCGACAAGCAACGCCTACCCGTTATTAGATGCCGTAATCGATTAGCAGATATATAAAACATTTCGGCATTAACTGCCCAGTTCCTTTTAGCTGCTTTTTGGCCACATTTTCCCCAAAAATTCTGCTAGCTGTTTTTCCAGCTTTTGCGCCACATTTCTCCAAAAATCTTTGCTAGCTTTACTCCCCATTTGAGACAATTTTTCGCAAAAACCTCTGCCAGCATCCCCGATTCCAGCAGCCCGACGAAAATGAGAAAAGCCGATTGGTGGATTGCCCACTGGATAGCGACGAAGAAGCCGATGATGAGGATCCACGCACTAATGGAATGACCACCAAGGGCCCTCGATCTCCACTCCGCCCTGAACTCCTTGCCGACGACCGGAATCGAGCTGGAAAACCGCAGCAGAGTTGGTGGTACTCGGTGTCGTGGTGTGTTTTTGGAGTCTAGTGGAATTTTTTATTTTTATGATGTTTCTGCAGTTACGATAGAATAAGCGCGGTTTAGGAGGCGGTTCTGAGAAGGAATTGTCCCGGTTGACGGACGAATTCGACGTGGAGGGGGATTCTGCTTCGGATGAGCTCGATCTTTTGCCACCGCTTGGTGCTCCTCCTCATGTGAGTACCTTGAGCATAAGATATGAATATATTTTCTAAAGTACAATATATACGTTTAATCAAATATAACCTATTTTTCGAATTTTAGAACGCCTCGAAGTTGTGGAAATTCTTTGGGTGCTGCCGCTCGCGGGTGCCGATGAAATGTACGATTTTGTAAATCGCAATTTTTGTATAAAAAGTGCTTTTAATACCTTTCTAGTCTCTATTTTATGCGGGTAAATTGTGCCATTAAATGAGGCTATAATTGTCATTTTTAGTTTTATGGAAATAAATGGATTTTCGTGCGTTCTACCCATTTTTGTTGCAGCACATCCTCATTTTTTGGGAAACGCAAGCAAAGGTTTTTCATTATTTTTGTTTTCTCTCTCTCTCGCTCTCTCTCTCTCCCTCTCGTTCGCTCAGCCTTGCAAGCGCGTTCTCGCGCGCTGCGCGCCGACTTGGCGGAAAGGGGCGGGGCTTGGGCTTGGGCGTTTGCATGGGGATCGACTGCCGAGTAGAGCAGGTAGCCACAGCCCTGATTCACCAATATTTCAAGCCACAAACATCCCTGACATTTTCCCACGGTTTCAACGATGCGGCTCATCATCGGCTTGCTGCTCGTCGTCGTGCAGGTCGGCTCAATTTTCGATATTTTCGGTATTATTCAAATTTCGTATTTTGACCCCAATTTTTGCTTATTAAAGGTTTTTCTAGGGTTTAACTTTCATATGTACCATCTTGCTAAATTATTAAACTTTCCTTACTTGTTGTTATCGCCTTTCATCTAAAAATCTCTGGTTATTTAAAAAATTTCGCGCTTATTTAGGCCCTACCTCTTTTTAAGTGATTTTTATGATTTAGTTGATGATTTTCTATACAGGGTGTCCCAAAAAAAACGACCCATCTGGCATTTCGCCAGGTTACACCAACGGCCCGAAATTTGGACCAGAGGTATCAGACCCAAATAACAACAATCCTGACTTTTAGCCCGATAGCTACAGTAGTTTTAAAGTTATAACGAAAATACTGTTTTTCCCGAAATTCTGAACAGTTTTATCGGCTATATTTTGGATGCACGATGCACGACTCCGGCGCGAACCCTAATTTCGCTTAAGAACTGGGGTGTTTGCGTTGTAAAAACGCTAAATCGAAGCATTTAATTAATTTTACTCTGGAAAAAATTTCTTACGGTAAAGAAGACCTACCGGATCATTTTCACTTAATGTTTAGAGGGTCTAATTCCATGAAAACCCTGTGAAAAATCGAAACGCAAGTTTGTTTTTGCTATAACTCGAGAACGATAGCTACCGGGCTAAAAGTCAGGATTGTTGTTATTTAGGGTCTGATACACCTCTGGTCCAAATTTGGGACCGATTGGATGTAACACGGCGAAATGCCAGATGGTTCGTTTTTTTTTGGGACACCCTGTATATCTAAAATCCGAAAAATGCTACAAAAACGGTTTCTATTCCGCTATAGTGTCGTGAATTGCTGGGATAAGCTCATCCCCGTTCAAGGGAAAGAACCCCATTTCGAAACCCGATGAGTTGTTCCATCGGCTTCATCGTTGAATCATAATTAACTTTGAAACCGTTGTAAATGTTTTTTTAATATGTTCTACACTCCGAGAATTTTTTGTAGCATCGGCAACCTTTATTTCTTCCCCTTTATACTTTTTTTTACAAATTCATTTTTCGCTTAAAAATTTATGTGAAGCTAAATCCTAAGCTAATTCCCAAAATTTTATTTCACCTCGGCTATCACGTAACAATTAGCTGTGTTTGCTGGGTGTGGATGATATTTGTGCCCCCCACTCGACGCCCATCCGGTCCGCACAACGCATCCGGTGCCGGATTCGCGCCGTTTTTTTTGCCAGCGCCCCCGCGGGAGATAAAGTACAAAAATCGTCTCGGGATTTGGATTTGACTTTGTAATCAATAAACGAGTGAATTAAATGAAAATTACAAACAATTTTTGTTGTTTAAAAAACAAAGTTTTTCAATGTTTTGGCTCGCAAAAAACACTCGAAAACCTTATTTTAACGCGTATATTCTGTACTTTATTTTTTATCATAGTTTTAAAACTAATTAAAAACGTTTTATTTGTTCAAACTTTAAAGGGATTGATACCTGTAAAAAACGGTGTCGAGCTGAAAAAACAGCCGCGCGCGCAGGACACAAGTGCAAGCATAGTAGCGCCTCGTACCCTAATTGTTGCGTTATGTCTTTTTAAAGTTTTTCCTAATTTTTTTGCTCATATTTTGACTTTCCGAAAACTTGATTTTCATGAGTAAATTATAGCTTTTCTTTCCTAAAACTCTATAAACAATTTCCGGCCCTTTTCTCAGTTGGTTTAGATGACAACCCGCGCCTCGCCAAATTGTCTGTCACAATAAAGCGGACATGCTCGCGTTGACAACATTTTCCCTTTTCTGTCCCACCTGAGCGGTGCGAGGAGGACCGCCGTTCCCCTCACAAATTTGCCAAATTATCGATTCACGCCGCACGGGCCAGGCGAGAAACTGAAAAACTAGAACTGTTCAAGCGCGAAAAAACTAGTAAAAGTGTTTTCCCGAGGCATCCCCTCATATTTCCATTTGGTGAAGAAGGCAAACACTTCAGATCAGCCGGTATGGTGCGCGCGGGGGAGAGCTGGGATTTGGATATGGGAAAGTTGGCAGGGGTTGTTTTGAGAATTTTGTGTCAGCTCCAGAAATCTTGTTTTCTAAATTTATAAAATTTGACGGCCAGGGCTATCGAAAAATATGCTGTGAGATGCTAAACGTAGCTTCAAGAATTTAGTAGACGTTTTAGAAATGCACGAATTTGTAAGGTTATATGATTTTAGAGTCCAGATTTACCCCAGAAAAGGCTCTTAAAGATCTGCAGAAGCTCTAGAAACTATTTATATATATAAAAAAAAATTTTTTTTTTTTTTTTTTATATTTTTTTTTGACTTCCCTTTTCGTTTGGGGGGGGGGATGGGGGGGGGGGGGGGGGGGGGGGGGGGGGGGGGTTTTTAAAGTTTTTTTGGGGGGGGGGGGGTGGGGGGGGATGGGGTGGTTTAAAAGTTTTTTTTTAAAATTTTATTTTTTATTATTTTTTTTTTTTTTTTTTAAAAATTTTTTTTTTTTTTTTTTGGTGGAAAATAGGGATGTGGGGGGGGGGGGGTGTTTATAAAAAAAGGAAAAGGGGGCGTTTTTTTTTTTTTTTTAGGGGAAAAAAATAAAAAAAAAAAAAAAAAAAAGGGGAGAAAGGGGGGGGGGGGGGGGCCCCCCATTTAATGTATTTTGTAATATTGGGAAATTTTCCGCCAAATTCTACCCAAAACTGGGTCTTTCGGTTTGTAAAAAACGTCCAAAAGAAGATTTAGTTTCGTTTTATTCCGTTCTTGTCCTAGCAAATTTGCATATCACGCTTTTTCCCATCTCCAGCAATGCCTAGCAAGTGAAAGCCCCTTTTACTTGACGATTCCCCTCCCTTTTTGACCTCGAAAACGTGATAAAAGTATGATATGTAATCACGACCTGAGGGTGTGACTTCACAGGTATCATTCTCACTTTCTCTCTCACTCTCTCTCCACGGCGAGAGAGGGAAAAAATGATTGAGGTGGCGGGGGAGGGCTGAATTACTCGAGAGCCCCAGAACCAACCCGAGAACGATAATTCGAGCGGGTCGCGGGCTGTGTCGAGTACCGGGTGGGAAAGAGAGAGACAGAGCAAGCATAACCGGTTGTGTTTCTCACTATTTGTCTGTGTGTGTGCACCAACAAACACACCTTTTTGACATTACCCATCATAATGTGAAACGGAGCACCGACCGCCGGGAGTGGGAGGAGGAGTAGAGGAGGGCGCGCGGGTGATAATGTGCTTTTTTCGCACGGGTTCCCTGTCGTGACCCCGCGTACATAAAAATAAACCACAAATGACGCTAAGAAAAATAGCGCAGGGTGTTTTTGTGAAATTGGGTTGCGGTAGGGAAATCGAAAAACAAGAATGCATAGGGATTTTGGACTAAAAAGTTATATCTTTTCCACTTTTCTGTTTATAAAGGCTTATAGATAAACGAGTAGTTGTAAATAGTATAGCTGGACTTATTTAGAAGAAGCGGAACCCTTTCTAAAGCTTTTAAAGGGACAGCGCTGAAAAAAAGTGGAAAATTCGGAAGTTGCGACGAGCTCATAGAGAAGAATGTGCATAGGCGCTTCGTACTCGTACCGAACGTTCCGTGTACAATTTTCAACTATGCGTTCTACGCGAAAAGTCCAGAAATCCAATTTTTGTTACCCTGGGTCTCTTTTAGCCATTTCCAGCCGGAACGCCCTTTCCGGCCCATTCCTGATCACGAACTTTTCACCCCCAAGGCTGACCTTGCGGTGAACAGCCGATATTCAAATGTCCCCCCGTGTGTGAGCACCCGTTGTCGCCTCTTTTTACACCCTCCTTGAAAACGGAAAGAGGAAGAGACCGTTGTTTTCCCGCCGGACGACCCCCCCAATGGCTGAAAAACTGGCCAGAGAAAGAGAGAGAGAGAGCGAGAGAGAGAGAGAGCGGGGTGAAAGGAGAATAAATCGGCAATACCACGATGACCTTTCCATGCCGACTCGGATCGGCCATGGCTGCTGGCGCCTCTCATAGCCCAAAAAGGCAAAGAAAAACGCCAACTGTCTCGCGCTGCCCCTTTCGGTTTTTTGCGTAGTTGGTCAACCCAGAGGAGGGGGATTGTCGCGCCTTTATCGTTTCTCGACGTGCCTGAAAAAAAGCGTTGGATAACGGGGGAAGCATGTCAAGAACGCTATAAAAGAAATAATAAATATAACAAAAATATTATAGCTAAACCGCTAAAATCTTACAAGTTCGCGTAATAAATTAATAGACTATATTATAAACAAAATTTAACAGAAACCTATGATCGCCAAAAAGCTTGGATGCTTACAAGGCAATAAATCCGGAGAATCGCTAACACGGAAAAACTTTTTCAGACCCTCGCCCTCACCGTCATCGAGGAGTACGGGAAATGCAAAGATGACCAAGGTTTTGGAAATGCCACGCTTGTTTGCGACCTGGGAAATGTAAACCTTTTTCTACTTCAAAATTACAGTCCCTTTTTAGCGCCTCTCCGAACGAACCACGGCCAAGCTCACCTATCTGCTCAACGACTTGAGGGACAACATCCCGTGGGAGATTCGGCTTTATCTGGATATTCAATTTTCAGGTGCAAATGCGAGACGGGCTGCGATCGAGTTGATGGGCGGGATGGGTATTTGGGTCTTATTATGGTGACCGAGTCGAAAAATGTAATACCGATTGTCTAAAATTAAAAGACTAACAAATTTAGTCGAAAAGCCTAGCCCAGGACGCGAAGCAGATCTACGAAGACGCGGGCATGAATTTGAACGGATGCGACCACGGATTGTTGCTGATTTATCTAAAAGATTCGCAGCAGGTCGGCTTTTCTATCCTCCCCTTAATTATTCCCTTCTACCCTCTTCTTTAATTAACAATCGAGAAAAAAGCGCCCCGTCCTCTCATAACCCTTTAAAGTACCTGTAGCCGTATTCCCGTCACGCATCTCCTTCCACTTACCGCATCCCCCATCCGGGTCAACCCATAAGCGAAACGTTCGCCCGGGAATCCTCTTAGTGAAATGGCTCGTGGTGGCCAGTCATCCGGCTCGCGCACACGTCCACCCGCATAAAATAGCCGACGAAAAAACCCCGGAAACGCCATCCCTATACCCCGGCTAGGCGAATCCGAGCCCTCAAAAACAGGCAATTCACATTTCGCTGGGAATGGCCCCAAAAAACGTGGCCATTGAACGCGGTGGATTGGAGGAATGGGATCGATCATCGTCAAGATCTGTACCAAGGGCAACTACGCGCAACCTATACGACCACAATAATTCATAATAGTTTTCGCAAGATGCCATATACCAGCCAGCCTTGGTAAATCCATTCCACCCATACCCCGCCAGGCCGACAAGTGGCCCTTACTCAGTAGGAGCCCCTTTTTTGGCAACGCGGCGGGGTGCGCTCCCATTTTCAAGGCCTCGCCCTGATTTGTGCCACATTCTTGACTTGTTTAGCGGACGGAATCCGCACAATGCCCCGCCGATCCCCCATAAGTGGTTGCGTGTCTTTACAGGGAGATTTGTTATAGAATATGTATTTGCTAAAACAGGCAAAACAAACAGAAAACTCAACAAGAATACCGGAACAAAGTGAAAAGATGGGGCGGACGGTCGGGTTATTTTCCAATCTTGAGCTTCTTCGGCTGCTTGCCCTCCTCTTCGTATTCTATCTCGATCTAGAGAAATTGTAATGAAGAAGAAGTAGGGTCTAACCATTTGACGCTTCTTCTTTTTCTTGGGCTTGTTCTTCAAAGTTGGCATCTCACCGAAGGAAACCTGAGAAAATAATGCATATAATGAAGAAATGCGTACCCGTCTCTTGGCCTTGTCACCGGCACCCTTGCCCTTCAAAATCGAAGGTCCGGCTGTGCTGGATCCAGGAACCGCCTCGTCCGCATCCTGAAAGCTGACAATTGCGGAAGGACAAGTGTTTTCACCTCCTCCTCGTCGTCCATTTCTTCATCTTCCTCGCTATCATCACCGTCATCGGAACCGTCCCAATCGCCCTCTTCTTCCTCGGAATCAGTATCGGGTGGCGTCCATTGACCAGGGCCTGAAAAACAATTAAAATAAACGGTCAATAGAACTGGATCAACATAAAAACTAGTTTAGTTATGTCGGGCTTTGCTTAAAAATATGGTCACACAAGTGAGCATAACTCCGATAAAGCTCATTTAATCTAGCATCGTTTTTTTAATGTGTCGAGCACCCATGGAGAATGCCCGACACGGTAGTAAATCGCTTCCAAGATGCAAACATATCAGAAAAAAGGGAATCCGGCAAAAGATACCTTGCCCTTCCTCAATGTCTTGCTCATCGTCAGATTCGGCAAAATCGGCGACGTATTGTGTGGCTCCAGTGTCCGGGTCGTCTTCCTCAATCTCAACCTCCAGTTCTTTCTCGCTTTCTTTGAGCATTTGCTCGAAGGCCTCTTGGCGGAAATTGTAGATGTCGCCATAAGTCCCGCTCCTAGAACAAAAATACTAAAAAATTGTCTGAAATCCTTACTTGAGCCGACCGAGGAGCTCTTTCTCAATGGCTGTATCAAGCTTGGCGGCGACAAGAGCCTTTTCTTCCCTTCTCTTCTCTCTACGTTCAATTTTTGTCTAAAGCAATTCATAGCTCAACGAAAAGGGTCGCATACCTGTAAGGGCACAATTGTTTGTTGACGACCTCTTAGCCGCATTTTACGCATCCGAAGTAGATACTGATGAATTCGGACGAGACGTGCCTTGCACTTTTGTCGTACGAATTCTGACCAATGGATGAGTTGCTCCGAGATTTGTTGGACAGCCTGAACAACATTTTAGCATAAAGGATCAAAATACCGTGGCCATGTTCCTGCTGAGCTTCGTCTTCTCCCATAACCTTTCCGGGTAATGGCTTCTCTCGATCACTTTCGCGTAGAGATAGCAGATGCCTAATTCAACTATTTGTAGAAGAACAAACAAAACGAACCATTTTCTTCACGCACAGTAGCGTACTGACTGTTCGCCAAGGGGCACGAAGCTCTGTTGCAGATACCCGTCAAGTTGTACTCATTACGACAGAAGACCTTGGCTTTAGTCCTAAAACAAATTTTAGTGAATACCAAGTTATGTCTACCTGGTTTTATAGGAACAATGACCCTTGTTGAGGATGTTCCATGTGATATCATCGGCTTGCATCTGAAACTGGCAAATAAGTACATTTCAGAAAATGAGAATAATTAGAGCAGAAAGCTTTCCAGTAATGTTATTGAAGGAATTTATCAAAAGTTAAGAGTAGTAGATGGTTTTTTGACGCAGAGAAGACCTAATGCAACTTCAAAGGGCCAGTCGAAGGTCAAATTACCCACAACGCGACCTCTAATAACGGGACCACTGGCGCCAGGGTTTATGGTGATCCGTCAGTTATGTGCTCAAGGCCTTTCTGTAAACGGAGAATCCCAGAAGTCCAGCAACTAGTGAGGGCAAACAGGGATGGCCTAAAGCCAAGAACTATGAAAAAACTCGGCGCTACTAACGCAACAAGTAACGATTTTAGATAGCCACGTATCGAGGAGGGGACTCGTTCGTCGTGCTGACCGACAAGGATACGCAAAAGCTACACGATTTGGCGAGCCGCAGTAAGTTCGAAGGAGCAAAAAGATTGAGCAGAAAAATTCTTCAACGGGAGGAACGCGTTGCGGTCTGCGCGCGGTTTCCAAGCATGCAGTGTAGTGGGGCGGAAAGAGAAGGAGTTCGGGGAAAGGGAAGAGACGGAAAAGAGGGAAAGAATTTGGGCGAAAGGACAAGAAATATAAAAAGCGCGAGAGAGAGAGAGAGAGAGAGAGAGAGAGAGAGAGAGCGTGATATTTTGCAGGTTCGGATGGGAGTGATGCCTTGGCACTCCAATATCTTCTTCAAAACTACAAAGATGTGGCGGAACCGTCGGTGAAGAGAGCGGATACTTGGATGGTTAGTCTCATAGCAGTCACGAGTTATCTTTTCAACAATAACAATTTTCAGCCAGTGGTGGGGCTAGTGGCGGCATTGCTCGTGTTCCTGCTCATCCTCGCCATCCTCATCGCGCTCTTCATGTCGCGTTTCTGTTGCTGTTGTTATAAGAATAAGAAGGTATTAAATATTTTCTAATGCTTATAGCCAATTTTTTTTAGGAAGTCTACCAAGTAAACACGATCCCAACATACAAAACGATTGAACCCCTCTATGTTGCCGCGCCGACACAGTGAGTATATCAAAGTTTTTGATTGAATTATTTATGTTTATACAGCTTATAATTATGTTTAGCCCAAATGAGCGTTTCCCGGGACATTTGAACGACACGATCTACAGTACGCCATACTCTGGATCCCCTCTACCGTACCCCCCACCGCCAGGTTAGCGCCTTTTATGGTCCGAAGAATGATGATTTAGGCACCTCGCGACCAATCACCCCTTCTACTCTATCCCGACAACACCGCATGCCACCCAGCGGATTTACGCATCAGGTAGCTACATCAGGTTACTGTATCGTATCTTAACCATATTTTTTATATTCTTATTAATCACTATTTTTAGCACAACATCTCCGACCCGGTCACCCCAAAAACGCAACGCCGCAAGGATCGTGGCGAAGTCGCCGAAAAGAAGGTAAACTTGCCAAAACCTACTTTTCAACCCAGGCCCAAGTCATCACAACCGGTCAGCCCGACCGGCGTGAAGTCACACTCCGAGCCGGCTTCGGCCCGCGCTCAGCGCAGGATAAATCGCGGGGAATTGGGCCCGAAGGTACGGTCGAGAAAACAATGCGCGAAAGCAAATTTAGCACGAGGTTGGAACGGATCCGATGCCTCGGAGAATCGATGCCAGGGCTCTGGAGACCGATCAAAGAGTAGAACCCAGAATTACTAAAAATATTACCGATACTTTAAAGCCATTGGCGGCGATGGCCGAGCCGAAAATGGGCACATTGCCTGGCAGACCAGCATCGGTATAAAAGGGGCTTGGTGTGGTTGGATTAACAGATTTCAATAGCTAATTCGGAGTGTTTTTTTGGGTGCGAGCGATTAATATACTTATCTTAATATACGTATACCTACAGATTTTCGATATGTACTACGTAAAAAATCTCATACCCTTACCCCGCATAACCCCCATTTTCAGGCAATTTTTGGGTGGACTAATGCGCGTAAAAAAGGTCGAAATGCTGGTTTTTTAGTCGGTAGCCGGAGACTCGGCGACGTACGCCCTTCCTCCGGAATCCATCTACTCTGCCAGCACACTACCGCATCCGGCGCATCGCGACGCGTATCTACCGCCGATCCATGAGGTTAGCTTAAAGGCCAAACTCTGAAGCGCTGGCTTATTTACTACAGTATTTAACTAAAAAAACAATGAATAAATTTTTTTGGGATTGCAGATATCCAATTTCCCCTACAGACTAGAAATGCCTGGTAACTTAACTGTAAGCCATTTAATAGTATTTTTAGTAAAACTTCGTTATATTTCAAATGGAAAAACTACTATAAAAGCTTTAAAAATGTCTAAAAAGTGAAATTGTATTCGAAAATCGGTCGAGAAAACCTTATTTTGTATTTTTAATCGAATTTTCTAAAGCTTTGACGTTCCAAAATACCAGAAAACCTTTAAAAACGTTTTCTCTATTTATATTAGAACAATTGGATCCTGAAGGAAACGTAAGAACCCTAGATAACCATAAAACATAGTTTTTCTTTAGTTTTCTTTTTTCTCGTCCATCTTCTATAATTTAAATTATTATTAAAGCCAATAAAGCTAATTATTATTACTTTAAATTATAAGCTAGAAACCTAAGCATTTTCTAGGCTTACGGCACCATCCCGCGCCCATGGATCTCGCCACCTCACCGAAACCCCGATGCGGCCACGATGAGGTCGTCGCTGATGAGCGACGGCGATCTCTCCTTCCTCGACCCAAATCGAAAACTCGAAGTCCAGACCAAAGAAGACTTTATTTACTAAAAAATCGAATTTATTTCTTCTATTAAAATTCCCGAAATTTTTCCTTATAATAATCCCCATTTTTTTATGTTCTCCCACCACTGCCAGGCAATTTTATAACCCATTTTTGCTCATTTAGCTCAATTTTCAACTTCAATGTTAATTTTACGCCGAAAAACTCACTTGCCCGCCCGCTACGCCCACGATATTGCCGCCCCGGGTGCTTGATACACGCATTTCGATATATCCTGCCTTTTACGAAGGGATTTTGAACATGAAAGAGTTTTGTAAATAAAGATTCGTAAAAAATCTGACGATATAAATGGAAATATTTTAAGGGGAAATGAACTGTCAGCGATTCGAAACTACACGGAAACTGTAACACGCGCAGGTTCTAAAGGTGTACAATGGAGCTTGGCATTGTGGTAGATTCGATAATTTAGAAATAACACATCAGACATGATTCCTGAAAACCCTCCAAAAATAGCAACTTTCTAAAATTGTTATACTACATCTCTAAAGGAAAATCGGCCCCATCATACGCGCATCTTTTTTACGCGTCGATAGTAGCACGTGGCGGTCTAGGTTCGCAATTAGCAACTTTCGCACGCTACGATTTGCCCAAGTGAGAATTCTATCATCATGAACATGAAGTTAAACTATGTATTTTAATACTAGTTAGTTTAAAAACTAGTAAGCTTTATCAAAATTGCGGTTAACGCACGGCTTTTACCCGTCAATAGTATCACGTAGCCCAATAAGCACCCTCTAGTCGCCCCAAAATCCCTCTCGACTCCCATATTTCACGAATTCACATAAAAAGGCGTAAAGCTGAGGCTAAAAGCCGCGCCTCGGCCAAAATTCAAGTTTCCATCCGGTTGCGCGAGCCTGTTGGGGGTGGTTTGGCACAAAAATTTGTAGATGGCCCGCCGATATTGGTGGAGATCTTTCGAGCTTCTCCTTGTATGTCTGCCATCGCTATTCGCGGATGAATTCCAGGAGGATTTAGAGATGGCCGGGCCCGATATGCCTCCTGGAGGTGTCGCCACACGATCGGCATACGGTCCCCCACAAGCCGCCCGTATTGAGGGGGAGCGCCGCGGCAAAAAACGGGTATGTTAGGTCGGAGGAAGAAGAAGCTCTTGCTCCCCATTCCCGCCCTCATCCCCCACACACTACCCGAGATCCATGGAAACATTTCCATCCTTCCGACGACCGGTCGCGTCCATCGCCCCTTTCCACCTTACGGCCCGCGCGGCGCCAAAAACGCGCTCCGCGCTGCAAATGTGATTAGGCGCGGAAGGAGGGAAGGGCAGGGGGCTGGCTTCATACTTTTCGTGTCCTTTTGATTATCACACTGCGTTTTGTGCTTTTTGGGCTTTTGTAGCTTCTTTTTCCTAGTTCAATCGCCCCACTTGGCGCTTTGGGGTGTCATTTGGTAATTTGAGCCCTAAGACCGTCTTTTACACTTTCTGTTTTTCAACAACTTGCATAGATTTCTTTCGGTAGCATTGATAATATACATTTATCGTACGGTAGCATTGATAAGCATTTTGAGCTTTCTTGATTTCTTTCGTGCGCTTGGAAATTTAGTTTTTTTATGAGCATTAACAGCGAAAATGGCGCGTTTTTCGAGTGTATTTCGATATTTTTAGCTCGTAAACTTTCTGTTTGAACCAACTTTTATAGATTTTATAGTGATTTTTTGAGAATGATTTGCGATTTATTTTTATAGTTTTATTACGTGAGCTGTGATATTCTAGGATTTTGAGCGTCAGAAACGTAATTGACACCTTTTTTTCTAGGATATTGGTGTGTTTTCTTTGCTGAAATTTCTCTTGTCCGCTTTTGAAATAAGTTTTTCTATTTTTACTCGCGCTCTTCGACCGCTAGGTATTCAAAGTTTATCAATGTTCACCACCGGGCTTTAAACTATCAATATACCTTTTCAAGGCTTTTTCTTGAGTTTATTTCACACTTTCCCGTGCCACTATGGCATCTAGACGTTTTTCTTAATCCAGAACCGATCCCCAGGGTGTTTCCGGATCGTAATCCCCGGATCGTCGCTTTTGAAGGACTGTTTTTCGGGTGAGAAAGACTGTGGCTACCCTGTTTTCCGGACATTGGATATTCTCGGTTGTGGCGCGCCTGCTCCCACCGCGGCGCCACCGGCTACCGCGTTCCGCCACATTCCACTCTTACGGCATGTCTGCATCGCTTGCACGTTGTTCTCGTTTTGTAGTTTTGCCGAGGGTTCGTCTTGTTGGCTAGAATTCGAAAATTCTTGGCGGATCATTTGGAAAAGCTAGTTTTACTTTCGGTATCGAAATGTTGGTACTGGGCTGTTAGCGCGGGGGAGGGGGTATTTTCCCGTTCCTCTAGGCGCCCTATTTTGAAAAGCCGGTTTGGCATTTACGCTCTGTTTGGAAATAAACAGCCTGTAAAAATGAGTAAAATTTTTCCGGCTACTTACTAAAGATACTCTTTTTGGTCAAAAATTTACGAAAATGGTTAAGGTTGCATTTTTTTACATTATCGGGTATTTTTTACAACTTTTTTGGTAATCCGGAACTAATAGAAACTCAAAAAAAATAGTCTGTTTTATTACTATGGATCTAAATACCCCCCCGTTAACAGCCCAGTACCGAGAGTTTAGAGCTTTACAAGCTCACTTTTTTGGTTTACGTTTAAATTAGTTGTGTAGTTTCTTAGTTTTCGTTAAAGCACTACCCTCCATGTCGTTTTCGTACTTTTCAGCCTCAGTTTCATGCCAGTTTCCATGTTCCCAGGCAGATCCCGTTAATCGGTGTTGCTCAGACCAGTTGGCGCTCCTGTGCTATATCTTTCAAGCTCACACTCAGCTTTTGGAGGTAGACCGAGAGTGAGAGAGTGAGAGAGATAGATAGAGAGATAGAGAGAGAACGAGAGAGAGATGGCCATAAAAACAAGTCTGAGTTTGATCATTAAACCTTAACAATTGATTAAATATGAACTTTTAGACCCAGAATCATGACCAGCCGGCTTTGCATAGCTCGTGCTCGAAGTCTGATCATTCGTGCCCTTTTCCATCCCGTTTTTGCTAGACTTCTCCCCTGTTTCTCTCTCTCCCTCTCATGCTCCTTCTGATGATGGTGATAATTCATCAGGCTCGCCGAGCCGAATAATTGGCTCACGCCCAATAAGCCTAGCTTTTTCTCCCCCCACCCACCCATCCGACGACCCACGAGAGCCAGTTTCAAATCGCAATCTCGCGCCGACCGGGGGGCGATCCGCACCCGGCGGGCTTTTCCGAGAAAAACAGAACCCAAAATATGCGGTCGGGGTGGCGGGTGGATGGAACGATCGGGGTAAAACTGTGAAAATGTAAATTTAATAGATTTAACGAGACTTTTATCGATCCTTTAAAGCCGAGCTAGATTTTGTGTTAAAAATGACGCCGAGACGTTTTTTAAAGTTGATTTTCTGCTAGAAAAGCAGCTATAAAACGTTGAAAAAACAGACGGTATCGAGTGTTCACTTCTGGTCGATAGAAAATTCGGTGCTGCTTCATTAACGGGGGGCTAACTTTCGACAGGCGGCATATAATGAAAAAGCTTTTTGAATAGCATTCAGGACACTTCTAAGTAAAATTTAGTTAAAAAATATTACAAGTATTAAAAGCTCCCGTTTTTTTCAAAAGGTGAAAAATGTAACAAATTTCACTATAAAAAATGTGTGAGATGAAGGATGTAACCAAAACCAAAAAGAATACAAACATACGCAAATAAAACTATCATAATATCCCCCCTGCTAATGAACCAATACGAATAAAAATACCCCCCCCCCCGTAATGAACTAGAACCGAAAAGTCTTCGATTATTCTAAAGCCCAATTTTAGTAAAAAAGTTGGATCCCCAGCTATTCCCCCAAAAGCCCTTCCTGCTTCCTGTTTAGCCTCGGAATCCATGCCATTCGACCCACGGCGGCGCCTCATTTCCGATCGCCTATCATCGTACCGAAATTCGAGGCGGCTAACGATGACAGCCAGTGGCAGCCGGGGCGGAGACAAACGACAGACACCTATGAACAGTCAAAAAAGACATCCCCGTCCAGGAACGGACGGACGGAGGACAATTGGCAGGCAATAGAGGGCATTCTGGTTCTTCCCGGATTGCCGATGAGCCGATGGGCTATCAAAATGGGGGCAAAAACAAGGCATGATGATGGCTGATGGGCAGATCAGCAGTAGAGCACCTAGCTGCCTAATTTCGGACCGATGAACCGATGACATCCGAATCGATGACTGATACCCTAAACTATTCTAAAATTTACGATTTCCTACAAATATATATAGTTTGACAACCCGACGGTACTGGTGCCTTAGCGGGGGGAAGCAATTGTAAGTACCTTTATTCAGCTATTAGATAAATTTTATCTTTATATTTTATGGCTCTTTCGCAAAACTTACTTGTCTTTTTTCTACCCAGCTTTTCAGATATAAATAGTGGGTGTTTTTAAACGGTTTTCTATATTCCTAAGCGTAAAATCTTTACAAATTCTATTCAAAAAGATAAAAAAGTTTTATGTTTTTACGATCAAAATGACGACTATTCCAAAAAATTTGAAAGTTTTGAGATAGGTTGCTAGCTGGAATATATATTTTTTTGCTAAAAACACTTCCCATTAAGTTACTAGCCATTTCTAGACTTATACAAAAAAATTCGCCCCCCGATAGTGCGAAAGTACCTATTTTAGTAACTTGTCTGGTTTCGATACGAAATGCTCCTTTTGCCGAATCGCAACGTTCTCCTGTCGAAATTTCCCCTGCCATCATCAGCTTCGAACAGGTTACGTCTAGATGCGCCACCTGGCAGCCCTCCACGGCTTTAGCGATGATTTGCCGACGTTCGGTTGAGGGATGGCAAGGCGGGCTGATAATTGAAAGGACAGCCAAATAGGCAGACAAAGCCCCTCCCATTTTGTGGCTTATCCCCCCCCCCCTGGCGGCTTCAAGCTATCATCAGTTTTTCGTGTCGTTGCTGGCAGCCGTGCCAGTTCGATGCGTGAACACCAAAAAAGGGTCGTCCGGATCCTGGGTGGATTTGGAATCAGCCACAAGTTTTAGTGAGGTGTCTGATTGGGTTAGGCTTAGCTTAGGCTTGAGCTTGAGCTTGGGCTTAGGCTTCGGCTTATGTTAGGCTTAGGCTTGCTCCTGCTCTACTCCTGGCTCTTCTGTTTTCATTTTCTTATCCCTTTTTTTGATGTTTTTACATATCTTCATCGTGTTTTATTTGTCGTGTATCGTGGTGTATCGTGTTTTATTCCCTTTTTTTTGGTTCTTTTTGTTTAACGGGGGGGTAATATAAAATGCTCATAGAAAAATATACAAAATTTTAATGATTTTTGAATTTTGAGTCCGAAATGAGTAAAAATAACCAAAAAAAATCGAATTTTTCAATTTTTAAATACTTAAAAAATATTTTTTTTGACTTCCTAACGATGAAAAACTGCTATTTTTGCAATTATTATATTCCTCGTATCTTATTGCTCCTATTCCCCCTTTATGCGTTTTTATTTTCAGGGCATGTTGCTATACGCCCTCTTTTTGCTGCTGTATGTCTCCCCGGGACTGGTCAGCGCCCAGGGCTATGGCTCATACTATCGTGAGTATTTTGCTTAGCTATTGTATAGTTTATTGCAACGCAAAAGCTTTATAAAACTTGTTTTAGCCGGAGCCCGAGCACCAGCCTCGATGCCCCTCAACGAATATAATGGCCCACCACCAAGCATGATGAATTCGTACGCACCAAAGGGACCCCTGCCATTCGCTAATGTAAGTTTGCCTATATTGTAAAACTTCCCTTGACTGTTATTTACCTATATTAATGTTTTTAGAATTTTGGCCCGCGCCCACCACGTCCGTTCTTCCAGCCGCCAAGACCCGTTTGGCGCCCACCGCCACAGCCGAATTTCCACTATCAGCCTGTGCCCATTCAGACTTATCAACCACCACCACCACCGCCCCCGGTACCTCAAGGTATTTCTGGCAATATGATGCCTATCCTCGCTTTTTAGGATATGACGAAACACCGGCCCCTACTCGACCACCACCCCCACCCACAACCACTCGGCCACCACCACCTCCTCCAACTGCCCCTCCCGCGTATCCGCCATCCGCTGAGACTAGTGGGTTTTTGTGCCGGAAACTTTCAGTGGATGCCTTGCCTTCTCGTTCCTCTTTTTTGTACCTTAAAATCGCAAAATACTTTCTATTAAGGGTGGGGGGGGGGGGGGGGGCCCCCCCCCAAAAAAAAGGAAAAAAAAAAAACGGGGGGGGAGGGGCCCCGGGGGGGGGGGGGGGGCAATTTTTTTTTCCCGGGGGGCCGCCGCCCCCCTTAAGTTACTAGGCATTTCTAGACCTATGCAAAAAATTTTCCGTTTTCGACCGATGAAAAGACCCGGTTTCGAAAGAACCGATTTTTCACCAAAAGGTATGCCAGCAAAACCTTTTTATGAGAGTTTTTTCTGCAGTTACAAAAAAAGCGTTAAATGCTGTTCACGCGGTCTGTATTTAGTTATTTTATCAAAGAAAAACACTCAATTCAGGCTACGAGGACACCCCCGCGCCGCCGCCACCTAGGCCTTATTCCCCACCACTTACCTGGAGGACCCCTGCTCCTCGACCACCACCAGAGGATAGAGGCAAGTGGAGCACACCTATTTCTCAAACATTACAAAAATAGAACCACTAAAACCCGGTTATTTTATAGGATACGACCAGCCACCACCTGCGACGTACCATCCCGCTCCGACTCCACCCCCAGAGTCCTACGAGTCCTCGAACGAAAGTACCGAATACAACTATGGCCCGGTGGAGACGAGCACCCGATATGTACCTACCACCCGGAATTACAACTACGCAAAGGTACGCACAGTCACATAAAAATAAGACCTTGTTCAAGGCCGTGACGACGACTCGGCGCCCCACGACCACTCGGGCTCCGACGACAACTAGGCGACCAACGACCACCAGAGCACCAACGACCACTAGGCGGACACAACCAACTACCGTTCGCCGAACACCTAGCACTACGAGGACACCACCAACAGCCCCGCCCACAATGGCCCCAAGGACTCGAGGACCCGAATGGGTGACTCCACCTCAATCTCCGAAGATCGCCTACTTCCCTCATTCGGCTGAGGAGGGAGAATCACCCTGTGATGCTGCTGCAGAGGATGGAGATGGTCAGTTTTATCCCTTTTGGTTTTGGTTGATTATCGGGGGCGGCTAATTTCCGTTGTACAGCCTAAATTCCGTAATAAGAAAAACTATTTTTATAGTTTGTTTAGTAGTTTAAAAACGATTTAAAATTAAAAAACGTTGAAATTTTTCATATTTTTTGACCGAAAAGTTAAGAACCTTTGGAAAACTTAAAGTTATTACGTAATACGTAGTGTAAAATTCTATTAAAATTATTTCGATTCTAGGATGCTGGGACTTCTTCCAATACGTGCCTGGAGTTCGTGCCGGGACCCCTTCGGAGCCAGTCGAATCGACAGAAAAAACCGAGGAGGCATACCAACCGGAAACGTACAAAACCCCTCCTCGTGAGATGACCTCATCCTCATCCGAGGAGAAGATCCGCGAGCAACCAGTTGACACCACCACGGTACGGTATGAGGCCCATAAGAAGGAGGATGCTGCCGCCGCGGAGTACAAGAGGGAGACCGAGGATCGGCCAGAAACGGCCACTTGGAAATTGTAGGTTTTTAGGGTTATTGGGGCGAACGAGCAGAGACAATTGGGGAATGAAGGACGCCTAATCTTTTCGAATTTAGGCCCACTGGCAACGAGGTGTTCATCGGAACCGAGTCTGGAGGTAAATGATATATAATTAAATTAAACGATATTTTTAGAACCTGTTGAAATCCGGGATAATGTTGAAGAGGTCAATGGGGATCGTGAGGAAAACCCCGAAAAGTAGGTTATGGTAATAGGGAGCTTTCGTTATATCGGGGGGACCGACCGATTGGTCGAAAAATCGATATTTTCGTGGAAAAATTGGGTCTTTGTGAAATTTAAATTAATTTAATTTGTGAAAAATTGGGAAATTTTTAGCTATCAAAAGCTAAAAAAACACCACAAAAATGCTTTGTAAACGAGTTTTTCGATGCTCAAAATCTAAAAAAAACCGTTTAAATTCCAGGGATGTCGATTCGGCCGAGCCAACAACCACCCAGCAGCCCCTGAAGGCTTCAAAGGGAAGCCAGCTGCAATGGGTGCCCGCCGAAAAGGGTTTGTTTCTAAATAACAGAAACTACAAAACGTTACTAACCGGTTGTCGTGAGTGCAATACCCCAAATAGTCAGGATTAGCTCGGTTTTGTTTTGTTAATTGTCGTGAAATTTAGGGGAGGTGATGAAGGGGAAGAGAATCCACCCCACAACCACCGCACCCACAACAACAACAACAACACGTGTTTCTGAATCGGATGAGGTGGAAGGGTCTGGGGCTGTGGCTGCCGTCACTGAAGCACCCACCACCACCGAGCCCTCCACAACCACCTCTAGCCCTAGCGACGAGCAGAAAGAGGAGGAGAGGCGGGATATCATCCCCGAGCCCGAGGAGTTGAAAGAAAAGGGTAAATCGAACTGATTTTTGGTTTTCACTAGACCTTTAGTTATCACTAGTTATCACAAAAACTTTGTTCAAAACACGATCCTACGTTGAAAGCAATAGAATTGCACCACGACGCCACCCCTAGCATCACCTTTTAGATGAGGTGGAGACACGGAGCGGAGATTTGACATTGGATAAAGTGGAAGAGGAAACGACTTGTGAGTGCATTGAGATAACACATATCACTTTGTGAAGTGGTAGAATCTATTTAGTTTAATCACTATAATTATGGAATATCAAACAAATAGTTTCTATCACTACTTAGATAGTACCGGTTCCAGTATAAAATAGTCCTAACCAAGCGTTTGCAGTGAAAACAGACACCGAGGCAACAACCACCGGAGTCCCCGAGCCCCGACTGCTGGTCCGAGAGTGTGAGCACGACGAATGCTAGCTTCTAGCACATGGTCTCCCCCCAAATAGTCACCAAGAATGCAATCTACACTTTTTGAGTGTTTCAACAAACTTCCGTTGCAATATGCACCCATATCCTGAGTTTTATTTTGTTCGATAACCCACAGGCCCCCATTATGAAACGATTCGAAGGGGAAAAAAAGGCTAGACCCAAAAAATCATAAGAAATCTTGCCATCCACCACAATCCCCTCTCATGCTCCCCCCACAAATCCCCTCAATCCACTTCCGCCAAAGTCTGAATTTGCAATAAAAAGTACAATTAATATGATCGTGATGTAGGGAACAACGGGATCTGGCGTGAGCCGAGCACAATCCCCTCCACCTCTGCTTCTGACACCACCACCACCACCACCCAGGCCACTCACTGTGAGTCCACCATTTCATTTTTGACAACAACACAAAAACTTGGGCGGTGGTGGTGTTAACAGGTAGAGCTAGGGAGAAAATACAGAAACAGACAATTAGCATTTTAAAGCTGGGGCTAACAAAAAAAAAAAAAGCGAGAGGAAAAAAAAAAAGCCGGGGGGGGAAAGCAAATTACACAGTCGCCGCGTTTTCCCGCGTAGACTCCGGCCAAAACTGGGGGCTATGAAAGTTGTTCAAACGACTTCTGAGCAACAAAATTGGAACGACGTTTGATCAACACAACTTTTGCGCGACGGAAAAATTGTTGATCATTCGTCGTCGTTCTGATTTTGCTGCTCAAAAGTCGTTCACTCAACCGTCATCAGCCAAAAAATGCGCCGTTCAGTTGCTAACGTACAATTATAAAATTTGAGAAATTTGTTCGCTAACCGCTAACTTCCGAGTGTAAAACACAAGCTTCCCAAGCAATCTCTGTCCCTTAAAATTCCCGAATTCAGCCACAACGCCGTTGACCACAACCACCACCACCACTACAACCACTGAGTCGACCACTTCCACAACAACCACAACTACCACTTCATCCCCGAGCACTCAACCACCGGCTGTCCATTTCTTGGACAAAGCCCCGGTGGTCGAGCGCATCGTGGATTTGAGTAAGCTGGAGCGACTTGGTGTGCTTAGCACGACAACCACCACCACTGAAGCCCCACCAGGTACCACATTGAGTGTAAAGAGCACTTGTAAAGCAAGTCGCGCCTAGTAGCTTTCAATTATTAGTGGCGGGCTTGCTTTACAAGTTGCTCACGAGTTTGTTTTAGATCTGACCGTAACCTCAATTCAAACCCAAAACAAATTCAATTCACAATCTCCAATTTTAAACAAGGCCAATGACGAAAACAGTCAAATCTCATTGCACTCAACTGGTGCAACGATACAAGAAATTGCCGGGGGAGCTGGTGGTGCTCCGAATAAAGTCAAACAAGGAACGTTCGGTGGCGCATCGGAAGAGAAAGGAATGGCCATGATTGTATTCCCAATGGAAGGGCCGAAGCCTGAAGTGCCGAATTGGTATAATATCACGGAAAGTCAGGGAGATCCTGAAGTGAACGAGCTCACCGCGCAGGTTCAGAAGAAAGGAAACCTGAGCTCAAACCTAAAGATATCAGATCCGGAAGAGCTCCGGAAATCCGAGAAACAGCAAGACTCGATCCACCTAGCTGAAATAGATAAAGCAAGCTCTTTTGAAAAGGAGATAGTTCTCCAAGAAGGGGTAGAAGCCCCCATAATTGAAAAGAACGATCAAGAAACCAAACTTGAATTCGGCGCAAATTTTAAGACTTTAAAGCCAATTTTGAGCTTGTCAAGAGTCACTGAAAGCCCTGCCGGACGCTTTCTAAAGAAACCGAGCGAAATTTTGAGCTTCAAAGGTGATTCCATCGAAAAAGACACGAACGTCTTCGAACCAACTTCTCAGAATTCCGACGAAACTCAAAAATCTGATACCGTACTCGAAAATCAAAGAGGAAAATCGCAAAGCCAAGAAGGTGACGAAAGCAATAGTGTTGAAGAAATCCCAACACTCACAAACAATGACAAAACAGCCTCAAACGAGCCCAAACCCGCCCTCCTACCGTTTGACAATGTTTTCGAAGGTACCACCGGTTCCCCGGACAGCTCCGGGCCACCAAGGCGTAAGATTTTGGCCGGCCAAAGCCAAATTGAAACCAATGTGGCCCCACAACTCGATGGGCTAATTGCAGACAAAACAGCCAGAAATAGAAATGGGCCCGAAACCACGAAGAATCACAATGTCAATTCAGAAACCACCACCACGCCGCACCCCGAAAATCCGTGTTCACCCTTCGACATGAAGTGTCTGCTCGCCTCAATCCCACGTGGTATCAATTTTTGTAAAAACGGTTAGGTAGTGAGAAGTTTGGGAAACGCCGCTTTTCTTATCAAAAACAATTACAAAATTGTTCTTAACGACGGGCGTTTCCCTAGCTTTTCCCTAAATCTATCTCTAACCCTGGGGAGAGCCCTCTCTGCCAGTTTCCGAACGGGGGATATGGTCTGGTTTGCATGTGGTGTCGTGTGCATGGTTTGCGATGGAAGTTTTGGTTCTATATAATTTCTAATAACCTTCAAATCTATGCTAAAAATGGACACATAACTTTAGCGCTAAACCCCAAGAAGCAAACGCTAAAGTCTGCGCAAAAAAAACACGAAATTCTGGCCAATTCCGGGTTCTGGCAGTGAGGCGCGTCTCCCCAGGCCCACGTGATTTTAGAAACGCAAGGGGGCGGGAACGGCACTGGTGGGAACAGTACAGCCCTCGCAGACAGCCCATCGATACAAACGAGCGAAATTGACTCGTTGTTTCGAGCCCTCAGGGCCATTCTCTCATCCCCCACAACCATCGGTGTCTTGTTGGCGCTCTTGGTTGTCGGGGTGTTGGTGTTGGTGGGCGTGTGCTTGTGCTGTCTGTAACCGACGGATTGCCTCACTCTCAACCCCGTCCACCCCTCGCCGCCCTCAACCCAACGACTCTTCTTCGCTTTTTCGGGCCCACTCCCTAAAAGGTGTCTATCTTTTATTTTTCAGCTTTGTACTAATCGAGTGATAGGTACAGAGGAATACATATACTTTTACACCGTCGAACTTTTATAGCGGAAAAATAGAATTCTACAAAAAAAAAGAAAATGATTTCGCCATAAACCTTTAAAAAAGTAGGTTTTGAAAAAACCATTCTAAAGTTGCTCCTTGCTAAACTTTACTATATTCTTTACTAGGTACCGATCGATCCGCCTACAATCATAGATCTTTTGTTTTCAAAATTAAACCCGTTTAGAACGACCAGACAGCTTAAAACTTTAAGCCTAAGGCTACAAATGTCTTTTCGCCAACCTTTAGCCCTCAAAAACGAACACACCTTCAAATACTAACCTCCTTTCTTTTCCTAACCCTCAAAAAAACCCAAAAACCGAAAAAGCGAAGGAGGGCCGCCGGAGCGGCGTCGGGCTAGGCTAACTTGCGCGTTTCTAGAATACCTCATAACAACCGTAACCCCACCAACATCATCATCACCATCTCCACAACCCCAACACGACGACGCCAGCCTTGTACCGCATCTCGATTTCCGCTTCCTACACCACCATCACCATCACACCACCATAGGTTCGATCACGCTCAACTCGGGGGGTACGGTGACGGGGGTGTTTAGAAACCACGACAACAACAACACCCGCCACCACCACGACAATCCTGTCCACGACGACCAGCACAGCAACAACAACAAGCACAGTTCCGTTTGCCCGAGAAAAACAACAAGGTTTGTCGTGGGGACGGGAAGATATACATAGTTTGGTTGCTGTATTGAGGTGCCTAATGTAGGTGGATAGACAACGTTTACCTAACTGTGTCGCACGTATAGCCACGTGCTACGTAGACACCTATTTACGCAGCGAGACTACGCTAATAGATACGCAGACGTAATCAGGAGTCAACCTAGCATGTGCCTGGACGTGCGCTTTAAACCTAGTACTAATAAAAAAACCTGTCAATTACGCATTATTGGACTGGCATTGGTAATTTAACGTCCCACCAGGGTTGAAAAGCCGCTTCGCGACTTTTCAACCCTGGCCCCGTCTGACCCCATTATCCTTCACTTTGCATAATTGTCCTAAATTCAGATGACCAAAAATGAAAAACAACCTCTTCCACCTCTTTATATAGTCGAATCCCCACTTCCCATCTATGCTAATTATTCCTAACAAAGAAGTTTTCACAAAAACTTAAATTTAATGTCGAAAATCGGTAATTTTGTTAAATCTCAGATGCGTGCTAGTGTCGGACAGCACCCCAAGAAACGCACCCCGGGTGCCTTTGAAACGCACCCCGGGGTCTTGAAAGCACCCGGGTGCCTTCAAACCACCCGGGTCTGTTTGAAACGCACCCCGGGGTGCGTTTCAAAGGCACCCCACTCCCTCGGGGTGCATTAATAGTGTCCCGGTGCCTTTGAACGCACCCGGGTGCCTTCGGGGTGCGTTTGGGGGTGTGTTTTGGGGTGCGTTTCGGCCCCACAGGTGGCAAAGAATCGCAAGGCAAGCCGATAAATAAAAGTATTTTTGGCATAGGAATATTACAGAAACCCTTATAAAACCTTATAAAACCCTTCAATATGCTATTCTTGCCTGATTTCATACTCCAGTTACATCCTATTAATTGTTATCTGTTCCATTTCTGAAAATCACGTCAATAATTTCCATTTTGCGTTTCAAAGACCCCCCGGGGTGCGTTTCAAAGGCACCCGGGGTGCGTTTCTTGGGGTGCTGTCCGACACTAATGCGTGCAGTCATCTCCAGGCCATTACGCACCTAATGACGTATCATACATACCCTAAAATTCATCCCCTATCGAGATATCCTCCGGACAGACAGACGGAAGTGGATGCAAAGTGGCACACACACACACAGACACTACTTTTTTATATATAGTAGGATACGTACTTTATGGTTATAATGACCGGATTTGGGGGCCCAGATGACGCCCATTTCAATCATAAAGTACGTACCGCTACGTTAAACTATTAATGACGGTCATTCAATGCAGACTTTAGCTTAATTTGACGATGTAAGGTGTGCAATCAAGATTTTGAAAACGTGCGACCTTGGCTAGTTGCCTCAAATTTTATTTGTGTAACCGTAGCCTTTTAGAAACTTTTACAACAAGTACAACCGCTACCTCGGCAACCACCCAAAATCCAACCACTCCATCAACCATCGCCACCACCACCACAACCACCTCGCCCAGCACGAACCAAGAAATCCCAGAAGCCTCAGAAAATGAAACACGAGTGCTAGACAACGAAAATCCCAGCCCACAACGGCACGACATGTGGTGGACAGGTTTGCCGTGCTTTTCTATACTAATACTGAAATATTATGATTATTTCGCAATTATAATCACAAATTGATGACTAACCTAACCCGAAGCATGCCCACCATTTAGGCACCACCCCACCCACCGAGGCGCCACCACGCTTCACGTGGTTCTCCACGCGGGCCGCCCGTTTTAGCACCACAACCACCACAACCACGGTGCCGTTATTAGTGGAAAATAATGTGTTCGACCCGCAAGAGGTCGACCGAGACTATGAGGATTTCCCGAAACCGATTGGTAGGTTTTGCACTATATTATCGCAAATAGCACAAAATTGGGTACAAGTCGGAAAGCGGGGGGTTAGGCGGGGGAAACCAACTTTTTTTTGTCGGCCCTGGTGGGGATAGTAATCAAATATAAAGTGTTTTCACATTGTTTTTAGCAAAATTTAAGCCTATTTGAATTGGAAAAACTTTTTAAAAAGTTAGAAAAACGCTTGAAAAAGTCGAAAATTTGGTCATTTTTGGGCCGAAAAAATTGATTTTTCGACCTAAAATTAAACTTTTTAATTAAGTTTTGTAAAGTTTTATGTTTGGGAATAGCTATAAACAATTTAGAAACACTTCCACTATTTATATAAAAAATATAGGCTTGGGCGGAAAAAGTTCGGTTTCCCCGCCTAAAATCCCCGCTTATCCGACTTGTACCCAAAATTGTTTGTAAAAAGTAAAAAGGCTGTTATCTATCGATATGATTATTTTTCTGATCCTGCTTTCGATCCTTGGTTTAAAATTATCATTTTACCACTGGCACCCACGAAATTTGCAGTGTTTTGAAGAATTGGTTGTGAGAATCAGCACATTACCGTGAATACTTTTAGAAAATTGAGTGCTATTTAGACGCATCTGAGAGAGTAGAAAAGCTGAGTTTAATTTGGCTTTAAGAGTAACGAAAAAGAAAATTTAATGAATTCGCGGGAATTCACCTTGCGCATAGGGTAGGAGTGTGCAGTGTAGCGCCGCGTACAGACATTTTGTAAACGCGGCGCTCCACTGTACACTTAAATCGATTGCGCCCTCGGCAATCCTGATTTTGCAGTTTATAACGCTCACTATACCTTAAAGTTATATTTTCTATCAAATTAGCTAGCACTGTACGACTTGCAGTTTTGCTGTCCACCCCACCCCCACCACAACCACCAATGATCGACATGGGCATCCTATTCCCCGTCATCGAGGTCCAACAGCCACAACCACGCAGTATCCACTATCCACCTCGTATGCTACACACTTGCATTGTGTTTTTGTAGTGGAACGTAGCTCCTGGCGTTAAAATCGTATACAAACCGGGAATCTCCATGAACTCTATTATTTCCTAACCTCACCCCATTCAGCCGCGCCCGAAATTATCGTGAAGAAAGAGGTGGAGATGGAGCAGACGATGGTTGACCCTGCAGAGCCTGTTGATCTAAACAAAGGAAGTGGAAGTATGCTATTAACTTGGTAGAATATAATTAATACTTTTTTACTTTAGGCTTTGTGGATTCTGACGCACAAATGAGCCTTGGGCAAGTGCCGGAAGAAGCCCACAACTTCCCGGAACCCATTGAGCTTCAGCCAAGCTACCCCGAGGGGCCAAAATCCTCTTTGACCAAGGTATGTTGAAAATTTTAGTAGATTATTTCGTTTTTCTAGGTGTTCATCCCAGGGCCCCGCGGAAAAGGGGCGCGCACATGCTGCTCTTGCTGTGGACGGCCAGGGGTATCTTTTTGGAAAATTTTTTATTTCTTATTAAATCGGGTAAGGATGGGTTTACTACTGATTAGTGTGTGGGGTTTTTTAAAAGATATTTATTTCCAGAAAGATCTAATAAGGGTCCCTTTCGCACCGGGTACTACTAACCAGTAACTTCATGCTTTTAAGAACTAATTTATCATCTCTAACAGAATTAGCTAATGTCGAACAGAAGGAAGATTTCGGATCTACACGAGCTTCTTTTTTGGATACGTTGGGACCGCTAATAATTATAAAGAGTCAGGAAAACTCCAGCTAAAGAAGAAGATGAAAAAGAAGCACCATAATTTTTTTGAAACCTACATAATTTGTTTGAAAAAAACGAATTTATTCCCTCAATAATACATTGCTAATTACTATAGCTACTAATCTGTAATTTTACTCATCAACGCATGCCTAATTCAAGGCACAAAGCCCCCCGTATATACCCGAAATCTAGGAACAAAACGGCCAGGCTGGGAAATCTTATTATCCGAACGTAGAGGTGAGTGTGGGTAGATCGGTATTTAGGGGTAATAGCTTAGGATTGGTTCAGTTTGTCGTTTTTCTTTACTTTTTCTTCACTAAGAACCGATGTTTAGAACAAGATTCTTCAATACCCGCCGCAGAGTGCCGCCCTTCAGAGTTAGTTTTATACTTTTAGGTTCTTATCATTAAAATCTAACTGAAATTTAAACGCCTATTTAGTGCCCCAACCCGGCTTATTCGCGCAACAAGACCAAGCCGGTAAAAAACAATTCTATAAAAGATCTTCTATTATTTTAGCCTACCCCCAGTCACAGGGCTGCGGCTGCCAACCCGTCAACTGTTGCCCACCTCCTCAACCCTGCTGCATGCGTAATATACCGATCATCTTGCCGTAATACCATTTTTTAGCACAAGTTCCCACGTGCTGCGCCCCTCCTCCCCCGCCACCGCAGCCCTGCTGCGCTCCACAACCCCAGATTTGCTGCCAGCCCGCCCCGCCTATCACCCCTTGCTGCCCACAGGTATGCAGTAATTAAAAAGCTAACATTACAACATTTTAGCCAATAATCCCTCCTTGCCAGCGCGCCTGCCCGGCTTGCCCATGTCGCCGTCGCATGGCCCTTTCGATTAGAAGGTCAGTCGACGAGCGAAAAAGTAATATAGCTAGCTTTCAGATTAAAAAGACAATCCCTCTTCGGCTCGTGCCAACAATGCTCGGCTTCTGGCGAGCCCTACAGACGCGCATTCTCGGTGAGAATTGGCCTTTATCAACGAAAAAGCCAATTTCAGTTCCCATTCCGCGCCAAGCGCTCGCCAGCCGATGATGTGTTGAAATTCTTTGTGGGTTTTGTTTTTAGTGGTAACAACGTATCTAGGGCTTCGCACCGAAGAGCGAGAGCGCTTGCGGGCAATGCAACGGAAGTGCTGGGCGGATCGCGGGACGAAGGAAGAGACAGGTAATATCATTTTCATTTTTTTAAACCTTATTTAATACAAAATATTATTTAAACGAATGACCAATTAATAAAAATCAATATTTTTAGGCCGGTTGCTCGGAAACCTCAGCTTGCACTAGAAGAAAGCGCGAGGCTGAACATGTCCGCGTGAAGCGCACGGTAAGTCTGGGGCTTTTGGTATGGGACTTATTCTTTAGCTATAATTTTAACATTTTCTAATTTTTCGCTATTTCTAACTGAAATATTTCTAATACTTTGTGTGCTTTTAGCTCTGCCGACCGTGCGGCGGTCGCAAAAAACGTTCCTTAACGGTAGTCCATTCTTTTAAACACTAACAATCACAAACTAAAGCTCAACATCCACCCATTGAAGAACGAATCTGGCTGCCGGGCCTGCAACAACCTTGGGCAATTGTTTGCGCGGTCTAAGCGGGATGCGGTAAGTTGAATTAATTAACTGGAAAAACGAGAAACATTTTAGAATTGCCAACAATGCGATGCGAATCAGCTACAACAAAATGTAAGGCCAAAGTTTCATCGCTATATAACGAATTTTTCTAGTTCCGCGCCAAACGGTCACCAGATTTTGGATGCCCGTGCGCCAACGAGAATTCACCGAACATTGGCGCCAGCTTATTCGGACGATTCAGAAGAGAAGTGAGAAACTAAAAAAAACTGCAATTTCCTAAAATTTCCAGATCGGCCAATGCGACACAACCTGCTGCGACTTTTCGGCTTGCCCCAACGAAGCGACATTCGAACGAAAATACTGAACAACCCCGCCCTCCGTCGCCCACACTAATAACAAAAATTTTGCTCAATTTCTCGATTTTTAACCTCTCTCCTCTATGATCTTTCCCCCGACTCGGACAATGTGCTCTGGACTCGTCTTGGAAGGCCGTCGTGGCCCCGTCTCCTTCATATTTCTACCCCATAAGCATCTAAATACCTCAGGAATGACGTTCGTCGTGCAATCTATGTATTATCGTTCACTTATTGCTTGTGGATTTATAGCGTGCATATCAGATCAAGAATTCTAACGATAATAAACATTCGTACTTTTTTTAAATGGCCTTGGCATCTCAAGACAATTCAGAATTTTCGATTTTGAATTTAATTGTTACATCAAAGCTCCAAAATTTTAAAAATATATTAATAAATATTAATAAAATTAGAAAATAAAAAAGTAAAAATTTAGCCAATTTAAAAATTGAAGAGCCGATGATAATTTTCCGACTGCATACGTTAAAAGTTCCAGGAGAGGCCTCAGGACGGAAAGCGGGCATGGTTGCATCGCGTAGTGACTGGCAATTTAGGACTCGGTTACACGGCCTTTCAGAGCGCACACGAGAGGGGTGGTCGGGGCGTGGTGTAGTGGTCTAAGGCGGCGGTTCAGCCCCGAGACAGGGGATGCGGGTTCGGTTCCCGGGACCTAAGCCGTCTGCCTTTTCTTTTTGCTTTTTGCTCCAACCGTTCATAATAGGTTGCCGTAACGCTCTAAAACAAAAAAAAACCCAGCCAGCACCTTCTCTCCGGGCCGAATAGGCCAATAAACATAGCAAGCTCATTTGCCCTCTTCCATGACCCGCTCGCTAAATTTCTACGCTAGGATATTCTAAAAATATGTGCGAAAGATAGAGCGAAGTCTGTTCTATGTCCCAAGGCCGTAATTATATTAGAAAACCGTCGTCGAAAAAAGTTCTGGCCAGTTGAAAACTTCTGAAATCTTCGGTCGAAACCGTCAAGTAAATCTCAAAAACCTAAAGTTTAGGTTTTTTTCTGGGTGGTTCATAACAGAGAGTCTACAAAAACAATGCAATTCAGGTACTTGGGCTATTATTTAGCTGGATACAAGCCCACTCGATAACTGACACCTCATTTTTCAAACTTCAAAAAATCAGAAGTCCCGTTTGCCACGCTCAATTTTCGCGAAACCGCTTTCATAAGATAAAGAAAATTTTCTTCTATTTTTCCAGCGTTCAAGTAGATTATGAAAGTCGCGTTGAAAAAAGTTACAGCGTGAGGAAAGTAAAATTTTTTTGCCCCTTTGCTTTCTATCCAGTTACGCGAGGGTTTTGGAGCGCGGCGTAGTCTAGTCCCCCCCCGGCCCCTCTCGTGCGCGTTTTTCTTAGAGGATGAATTGTAGTGGTTAGTAAAGTGCCAGTTGGCGCGCTGCCCAGTGCGCTAATAGCGCGCTAGCAGGCGTGACAACTGGCGCTTTTGTAAAAGCGCCAAGTGGCGCGCCAGAATGTCAAAGCGCCAGCTGGCGCGCTCTTTTGTTCAATTGCCCATACGGGTTCCGGTATATTAATACTTTTTTTATTAAAAAAGGCTTTACATCGCTTTTTGCGATGTAGTACGATAGTTCGGAGCTAGAATGGCATCTGCTCTCTGGAGTATTTTCGTTCCGCGCACCTGAAACCACTTTTTTTGACTTGTAAATTGTTAGAAACCTACATTTTTGTTGTTGATGCTTGGCATACCCCATTTTTTCTGAAATAAACTGCGTGGCGTCTTACCTGCTCGGTGTAGACGTCAGGAGACAGGCGAATTATTCTAAACATGGGAAATAGATAAGTTTTATCTAAAAAAGGATTTGGACTTGGTAATTTTTGGGACCCACGGATTTGTACGGGAAGAATGTGCTCGTGAAGAAGTAAACGCGCATTCGATGATCTAAAGTGATTCTCAGCGAAAATTGAAAAATTGAACGTTTGTCTCGGGAAAATTGAAAGGGCTTAATCCTTTAAGTTAGTTGAGCTTACCGGAAATCGGGTAACCATATCTAAAAAATAATTTACAGGGTTCAGTAATCCTAGAATTTTTAATATCATGAAGTAAATATAATCAAAAAATACATAAGAAAAGTTAATAACAAAGACTTTTCCCTGGACTTAGTCATTTTTTCGCAGTTTTGAAAGGTGTTCGGAATTCAAATGCGCCCGATGGCGCTTTTCTTAGAAAATGGGTCCTGGCAAGACTTGAAATTCCGCGAAGTAGCGCTTTTTTGCGCCAATAGCGCTTTTGCGCCGGTTGGCGCTTTCCTCCTGAATATTGCGCTAGTCGCGCTATCGTCTCTTGTATACGAACGTAGTAGCGCGCTACCTGGCGCTTGCATCATTTTGGCGCGCCAACTGGCGCTTTACTAACCGAGGACGGTCGGCTTTATTTTTCAAAACATTTCGCTTGTAAGAATACCTAAAATCTAGCTTTTAGGAGATTTTTAATTTTTCAAAAGGATTAGTTAGTTAGTTAGTTAGTGTCGAAAGTTGCGAGCACTGTGCTGCAACGTTCGATCTTTGCTAAAACCTGTCACAGCGGATACAGCCTTACTTAAAACTGCAACGAAGTACAAGTACACTAATTACGGAATTCGTAAACGGATTGTGTCGTATTATCGCTGGGCGGTTTTTTCGGACCGATTACGTGGGGGAAAATGGGGCTGGGCTGACCTGGCTACGGTGGTCAGGTCACCACATTGGGGCGAAGGCTGGCGGAGATAGGGGCCCCCCGGGCGCCCGAAAAAAAAGCTGGGGATTGCGATAAAAAGGCCGATTTAAAAAAATTTCGACGTTATTAGCAAATTTGCGATTATACGATTTGTAGAAGAACACACGGCGCGTCTTTTGCGCACAAAATCATGGAAATCGTAGTTTGATTTTTAGAGCTTATAGGGTCGGAAGTTTTCGAGGTTAAAAGTTAAGTATTTAAGTGAGCTTCAGGCTCGTTTCCGGCATAAAAGATCTTGAATTAAGGTACTTTTGTGCGTAGATTCTGAATATGAGTTTTGTTTTTCCGTCCGAGCTCATATTTTCGAGATAAAAGCAAATTTTGGTGAAAATCATCCGGGAAACAACAAAATTTCGGGACATGGGTATAAAAGTACGCTGAAAACGATAAAATAGAAATGAAAAGTTAAAAACTTTATTTTGCTAAGCATTCGGCTTTTACTCAGTTAAGGCAATCGATTAGACAAACGAGATGGTACGTTATGCTACTCGTTACGGTGCTCCGTCATTTGAATTATGCCGTAGCCGGTCGACCTTCGTTGTTTAGCTGTTTCCGCTGTGCTGTACGTTACCGTAGCGCGACGCCCCCCTGGAGAGAGGGGGCGGGGCGGCTTTCGTGATTATTCCGAACAGACGATTTACGGATTTCTAGGGTTTAACGACCAGGTCTGTGCGGGTATTGCGTTAGCAGAGACCAGCTACCTTTTGCCTTACGCCCAGCATCTTTTGCCGAAGACCAGCGAGTTAGACCAGCACTTTAAGATTTCACTTTAGTTAGATCGTTGATAAATTGCATTTATCCAGTTTTTGGTCGATATTTTAAGATCTTTCTTAGTCAATTTCTTATTTCTCCTTTCCTGTTTCTTACCTCTTACCGTTTGTATGCTACCAATTTTGCTTATATAGGTCGATGCCTCCCCAAGTCGAGGTCTCCGTGGCGTCATCGCCGCAGAAGCAACAAGGGAAGCCCTTTCTCAACGTGGACGCCGAGAAACCGGAAGAATGCCTGATTTTTCTGCAGCGTGCTACCTACCTTTCGATCGTTCAAGTTCTGCATCTGCGGAAGCTGCTGCGTCAAAAGGCGTTTACCAAGCGTTATTTTGAAGGTGCTTAGCGCTCGTTTCGCTTTCATTAGATCTTTTTTAGACGAACCTTTTTACGTCCTGAACAATATGACCTCAGCCGGCCGTCGAATGTACAACAAGCTGAAAGGCCCCCTCGATGCCGTGCGGAAAAGGGCTCTTTCGAAGATTGTGCTGCAACTGCGGGCTAGGGGTATCGTTTTCATTCATGAAAAACACCTTATTTTTAGATGGGCACGATTACGATGACGACGAATACGCAAATTTATGCAACGAAGCTTGGACAATCCAGCTCACCTATGGAAGTTCCGGCTCGGTGCAGATTATACGCGAAAGCGACGGTGCCGCCATGGGGAAGCTCAAGTATAACGGGCCAGGATCGTTGGAGAACGCTACTTTCGAGCTCCTGCACGAACTGAAGAGCATTGGACAGGTAAGGCTTATCTGTTGATTTGTTTTATTTTTAGGTCCTGCATCCATTACCAAGCGTCGTCGACCACTATTTTCGAGTATATTGCAACCAGTCAGGTACTCGCTTCACTTAAATCTAAAATTCCTTTTAGAATATCAAATGGATGGTTATAAAACTGTCTCTGGTCCGTTGCTGGTCTCGGGCGATGGCTACCTATGCATCTCAAAGATGATGCTTAACCATGGCTCTATGCTCTTCGACATCCAGTCAGAATTTTTGCCTTCCATCGAATCGGCCGCAGAGGGTCTCAAACGCGTTGAGGTTTGCTTTCTGAGTGATGTCATTGAGCCTGAATTGTAGGAGAAGCGGAAGCCCGCCAACATTTTGGACGAAAGCCTATTCTCAGATCCAGGGGTGCCTCAAGCTAAGGCCTACGACCCGGAAGTTCCCACGATTGAAGCGATGGTCCCCCGGTATGGTTTTGTTGTAAGAGTTATTTGGTGATTTAGTACCCCATTCACTCCGAAACGGACCGCCGATTTCCCCGAGATCCTTGATTTTGACGCGTTCAACATGATTCTGCAGGCGCCCGCTGATGAAGAGCTGTTCTCTGAACCCTTCGTACAGCCGGGATTCCAGGACCCAGTGGTAATAATTGGCGCGAGATTCGATAGGCATTGTTTCCAGGACACACTTTACGGGATTACATCCCTCAACACTGAGGCGTCAGACTCGCAGGCTCCAGATGGTTCGGATGATAAATTGGAGGTATCGATTTCGTCCTCGATCGCATTTGTGGTTTCCATTTTTTAGAACCCGCGGTTGGCGACATCAAAAGCGAAAGTTACTTCTCCCACTCTGCTTTCGGACATCTGCCACGAAAAGGATAAAACGGTGGTTTGCGGCGATGCGGACAACACGAGCATGGCTGGGAATGTTGACACCGATCCCGTCAGTAAACCTACGGAGATGAGCGACGGTACTTTGATCCCGTGTTGCATTGGTTAACCATTGGTTGTAGAGAGCAGCCTCCCACGGCCTCCGGCGCGCAGAAGGAAATTGCCTCCATCTGTTGTTAAGAAGGAGGTCTCTCCTCCCCTGAAAAGACGAGGTCTCTCCTCCCTTGAAAAGACGGCTTTGCAATCGGAAGGTTCTGCCCACGAGAATCCGCGTCACCAAGCTCCAAACAGCGTCACGAAGATCTTCAACACTTCACCTCTGATGGGTACTTTGATCCCGTGTTGCTTTGGTTAACCATTGGTTGTAGAGAGCAGCCTCCCACGGCCTCCGGCGCGCAGAAGGAAATTGCCTCCCTCTGTTGTTAAGAAGGAGGTCTCTCCTCCCCTGAAAAGGCGAGGTCTCTCCTCCCCTGAAAAGACGGCTTTGCAATCGGAAGGTTCTGCCCACGAGAATCCGCGTCACCAAGCTCCAAACAGCGTCACGAAGATCTTCAACACTTCACCTCTGATGGTAACGCCTGGCTTCAATTTTTCTTCAGAACGCGTTTTTAGTCTATCTCCTCTACTTTGCAAACCGAGACTTCTGCTGAAGCGCACGCGGATCAACAAGGGCCATACAGTGTTACGAAGTACTTTGCCACTACACCGGTGATGGTAATTATCACAACTGAATATTAGCGGATGTTCCCTTGTTTCAGTCTGTTTCCTCGGCCCAGAGCTCTGTCGTAAACCCGACGCACCAGAACAAGTACTTCAGCACTTCTCCTATCATGGTTCGCAGATTTTGCGCGTTCAATATCTTTTTCCAGCCACTCTCGCCAGCCAGCGATCGTTCACGAATTGGGGCAGCCGGCTCGAGAGAGAATCTCGATGGGACTCTAATGACCGAAAGGATTTTCGCTACCTCGCCGATCATGGTATCTTTGTTGTGGTTAAATTCTTGACAGTTGGATGTTAGGGTCTTTCACCCGCATCTTCGTTGGCCAATTCTGTCCAGGAAGTGCCACTTCAACCTGCTGCTGATGTTGTGACGAAGTTTTTCAACACTTCACCACTGATGGTAACGCCTGGCTTCAATTTTTCTTCAGAACGCGTTTTTAGTCTATCTCCTCTACTTTGCAAACCGAGACTTCTGCTGAAGCGCACGCGGATCAACAAGGGCCATACAGTGTTACGAAGTACTTTGTCACTACACCGGTGATGGTAATTATCACAACTGAATATTAGCGGATGTTTCCTTGTTTCAGTCTGTTTCCTCGGCCCAGAGCTCTGTCGTAAACCCGACGCACCAGAACAAGTACTTCAGCACTTCTCCTATCATGGTTCGCAGATTTTGCGCGTTCAATATCTTTTTCCAGCCACTCTCGCCAGCCAGCGATCGTTCACGAATTGGGGCAGCCGGCTCGAGAGAGAATCTCGATGGGACTCTAATGACCGAAAGGATTTTCGCTACCTCGCCGATCATGGTATCTTTGTTGTGGTTAAATTCTTGACAGTTGGATGTTAGGGTCTTTCACCCGCATCTTCGTTGGCCAATTCTGTCCAGGAAGTGCCACTTCAACCTGCTGCTGATGTTGTGACGAAGTTTTTCAACACTTCACCACTGATGGTAACGCCTGGCTTCAATTTTTTGTAAAAAATTCTTTTTTTTCAGCCACGTTCGCCGATCAGCGATGGTCGGCGCTTCTCGGATACCGAGTCTGGGACCAATCCGCACACGGCGCCACTGGACCAGCACTTCTTCTGTAGCTCACCCATTATGAAAATGAATTAGTTATTTGTTACGTATTACGTTCTGTTTGTTTTTTTGTTTCCTATCATCATTTGATGTTTATTCTGGTCCGGAATCCTTATTTTAGCCCCACTGTGATATTTTACCCTCATTTGTTGTTCGTGTTTCAGACAGTAAAGTTAGTTCTCTTTATTGAAGGCTATCACAGAATGTCGATGGCAATCAAGGCCTATTTCTTTTTCTTCTTGTCGTTGTTGGAAGTCTGAAAGGGATTGAATGGTTGAATAGGAGTTATGGCAAAAGCAAATTACTTACCGTGCCCAGAGCTATCCTTTTCTTATCATCCTCGGTAACCCCTTCAAATGGATCAGGCCCACCGCCGACGAGTCTGTTGCGTAGAAGCTTTTGCTTCATAAACTAAAAATGTCTGTTATACTCTTTCGGTAAACATCGCTCCTATCCAACTTTTTGATACTTACTTGTTGCAAGAGCACCCGCCTAACCCGTTGCTTCACCGCCAGCGACACATCAAGCCACGTCCAGCTCCGCTCATGGTACTCGCACAAGGGGAACAGGAAGTGGAATCGATCGACGTCGAGCAAGTTCTTGTCTTTTTTACCCTGCGACGAATTGTCAACGTCGAGAATTGCCTACCTTATATGAGACGACAAACGGCACTTCCGTGATCTTTATATACACAAATAGGTTATTCTTGTCGGCTCGTTCCCGCATCCGATCGATGTCATCGAGACGATCGGAATTCCTAATCAATTTTTAATTTTTGGATGAGCGGAAAAGTTCTCTATTTAGGCTTTAGCTTAGATGAAGCCGGCTGGGACCGCCAACGTACCTGCTGTTGTTCGTATTTTGTCGTGTATGTATGACCGGGGCGCTTTGTTTCCTCTCATATTGGGCTCCGGTCTTAGAGGATCGGATGTTGGCAAATCGTCGAGTTAACGACATTTTCTAGAACGGTACATTTGGAGGTATCCTATTCTCAAGGTCAGCTACCTGATTTCCCTCTTCCTGATTGGTGTCAATCTCTTCTTGATTGTGAATATTTTGTCCAGGGAAGAAGAAGCCCATGATCCCGTCGAAGAAGCGATAGGTGATTTGAGCGACCATGGGAGAGATGTTGACTTCGAAATGCTCTTTGACGCAAATCCCAGCGACTGGAGGCATATCTCGGAGAATGACTCGAATGGCTGGCTGGTGGTGGGTGACCCGCTCATCGCGATGAAGCGTATCCTATACATGTTGCAGATACGAACACATTCGCTTACCCTGTAATTTGTGTCCATTTTGTCGCGCAGCAGGTTTGTTACTCGGATGGTTCCCACCTCGAAGAGATGCTCGCCACTGTTATCGATGCGCATCAATCGAGTATATCTAGGTGAATATTAATGTGAAAACTGCAAAAATCCCTACAAAAAGTTCCTAATTTGCAGCTGTGCAACTCCAATCTGACCATCGCTTTCTGTTAGCTTCCAGATGCAATCCTCGAAGCAGACCTAAGGGGAAAGATAATTTCTTTTTGATGCGTGAGTCTCAACCTCGAATCTTCTGGCGACGGGTGCTTGCTGATCAGGCTCGACACGCGCCGAAACGGCAGCCGCCCGCAGCTGTTCGACTTGTCGCTGCTTGTAGCAACTAAAATGGTTCATCCACAATTGCGAGATTTTCGAACCTGATGAATATTGCCAATTGATCAGAAACTTCAAGTTGTTGTTGCTTGAATTCCTCCATTTCCGTAGCTAGTTCCTGAAAAATTACGGTCTTATTTGAGCCGGTGCAGGAGAGCTACTTTTCGGCGGTGTGCTTCTCTGTCGCGATCCCCTTCAGGCAACGTGTCGACGTAGTGAATTTGCCGTTCAATCGATCTGCCCATCGCCACAATCTCGCGGAGTTCCGTCTAAAAATTGGCTAAACCAAGCTTTCGAGGCTGACCTGCTGCTCGACAATACTTTCTCGCATCTGCTGCATGTTCATCATTTGGCACTCAAATCTAGAGCAGAAGTGTTATTCGCTTTTCACGAGATACTTACCTCAAGCGTCTTCGGTGTTCAGCTACCTCCTTCTTTTTCGGGTCAACGAAGAGTACAAGGTTGTTGATGATGTCGACGACCATTTCATACTGGGCTGAGTTGCTGCTCGACTAAGATGAGCACAGCTATACAAAGCCAGTGGGAAAATACCTCGAGCATGTTGTGCTTCAGCGTCAAGCAGTCGACGGTCGAGTCGGCATTTAGGTTGGTCGCGTCGGTGTCAGTCTATTGATACAGTTGGTTAAAAAGTTAACAGTTTACCAATGGAAGCGCGACTTCTTCGAGGGCATCAGTCTTGAGCATTTCGCTGAAGTAGCAAAAATAGATTTCGCACGAGCAGCGGGATACGATCCTTTGCAGCGAGACGTATGGGCTCGAGGACGAGGATGGGGTATCCGCTTCTAAATTACGACGAAGATTGCTTCATGGTCGATCAAGGCTCACGGCTTGTTGCATTTCCCTGCACGACACCGCCGACAGCTTCACCGGTCGCAATAAAATTCGAGAGGGTGTCCATGGCGTTGTCGTGGCCTTTTTCTTCGATGACCTCGCGGGTCAACCATCGGAAACGCTCTTTGTTCAGCCCCTCGCTGATTGACACCGGGGCAAAGTACTAAACGAGAATTGGCTATATTTTTCTTTGATACCTGCATCCCTGAGATTACCGCATTCCACGATCTTTTTCCAAGCAATTGAGCATTGCGCCAGACACAACTAAAAATAGTGGATATAAGTTTGTAATATAGGTAAAAAATACGGCATATCCGGCTTACCGATGTATCTTTTGGGTTAGTGATGCGCGCGCTGCGGCCACCAGTAGGAACCCGTCCTTCTCGCAGCCCTTGAGCACCAACTGACTGTTCAGAAGATCGACTAAAGATTTGTTCAATCGTGTGTAAATTAAGTTACTTTGCCAGTTGAGCATCATCACATCGTCGGCCGTACATTGCAGGACTCCAAGTAGCGAATCCGTCGGCAATTCGGTTGCCTGAAAATCAGTAAGGTATCTTAACTCGGAAATACAGACGCACCTGCTCGCAGTGGGCAACCAGCTTGGTGCTGGCCTCGTCGATCAGCTGATCCAGAAGCGAGTTGGCCTGCTCGGACTGGCTGCGATGTCGATACATATCGTCATCCTCGCCTGCTCGATCGCGAGGGGTAATTTGATCAGGACGCTGTTTGTCGCTCTCTGTTTTTAACTGAAAGTGAAAGTTTTTGATCAAAATTTCGGGGCCCAATATACCTTCAAAATCTTGATAGCATCATTGGAGAGAATGCTTCGGAGGAGATGGGCTCTATGGACACCGTCGGCAATCACCAGGCAAGCATCACGATTGGCGGCTGTCCAAGAGGCCTAAGGAGATGGAAAGGTTGCATTTTAGAATCCGGTACCTTCAGATCTGTGCATATAATTCGATGCAGAGCCGACTCTTTTGTGCCGCCCTCTTCACGGATGTAGTGAAGCTGCTCAAGGCTGAGCAGAAGCGTCTCTGGCGATTCCCAAAGGCCACGAGTCGATCCCGAGGCCCCGCACACGTTCACCTGACGATTTCTGGCTTATAAGGGTGAAGAAACTACCTTTGTATTGCCCAAACCAGCGGTCACCTGCTGTTGGGTCCATTGAAAAGATTTTCGACGACGGAGCTCCTGGAAAGGCCAGAATTCAAAGAGCCACAATCACCCACGTTTTTATCGACTTGGGTGGAGGTGAGGCGAAGGAAGGCGGATAATGCGAGACCATCCGATGTTACCCTGAAAACCCGAAACCGGTCCATTGAGCACTTTCCTATACCTAAAGCCATAGTCCGAAGCATGGGACATCCAATAGGTGATGTGAAAGTACGGGAAATTGACCACAATCTTGACATCACTGGAATTTCATCAAACTATCAGCTTTCCGGGCTAAACTACCGGAAATGCTTGCTGAGCTGCGGCTTCGATCTGCTCGGCGATCCGAACAGTGGGCCCTTTTTGACGGGGCGATTTGTCAGGGTGAGCGTGTTCTGAAATTGGCACTATAGAATTCGCGGTACTGGACTGTTAGCGGGTGGGGACCAAATTTGATGCCCGGAAACCATATAGATATTAATATATCAATTCAAAATCGATTAAGATACGACTTTTCCTTTTTCCTCGTCTTTTTTGATATTTTATTTTTGATGTAATGTTAATTTCTCGCAATGGCAACTTACCATCAAAAACTCGAAGCATCGAAAAGTGTTGGCATAGAGAAGCATATGGGGTCGTTTGGAGCTATGCGCTTCTTTCGGGTCTAAAACAATTTGAAATCAGAGGTTAATAAGCTTCAACTCACCCCCATACGCATCAGCCGCGTCGACGTCAAAGCAAAAGGACAGGTCGAGGCATTTCGAGCGGAATGCCCGGTAGGAGTCGTGCTCCTGAAAAGTAGGTGAGCTAAAAATTGAGGCCGCGTACCGTAGCGCAATGGGGGAGTCGACTCGGTGAGCACGGGGTGGCCGCGTGGTGATCGTGCGGATCGCCGAGGCATACCCAATCCAGAGTGATGCGCCAGCGGACCTAGAAATGGCATTTTTTATTTTAACTATCAAAGATTTATAAATCTTTGTTAAAAAATACAAATATCGGATTGTTCGACCAAAAATTGCCGATTTTCGACAATTTTGACTTGAAAAATTGAAAAAACTTTTATGATACAAATTAGGTTGCCCCCGATATTGCAAAAGCACCTAGAATTTATAACGGTTTACTAATACAATTTTTCAAGCGTGGCTTTTCCACAAACCTGCGGCAAATACAGAATCCTAGAATCGTCGTATTTTGAGGCCGTGCGGACGTAGATGCTCAAACAGGACCGGATCCGGATTTCGCCTGAATTATTCGTGGTTTTTTCCGATTCTAGGCCTACCAATGAGCCAATCGAGCCCAAAATTCTCCCAGCACCACTCGACAGTCTCCGTGGAATTGTATGGGTCTGGGGAGGCGAGCATGGTAGTACGCACCTAAATTTTTAGCTTGAAAAAGATCGGTATTTTAGCACTGACCTCTTTACACAGCATGCTGAACCGGCCGTGGAGAAGGTAGCGCATTTTGTCCCAAAATGGAAGCACCGGCGAGGGGTCCACCTGAAACCCCGGATTCGGATCTTTCGCATTTTCGGGGGACCAACTTTTTCTAAAGCTCCAATTGCGCAAATATAAATACGGGAAGTGTTTCTAAAATGTTTGTTACCACTTCCAAAGGTAAAAATCTACAAATTTCGTGAAAAAAAAATAGATTTTTCGACAAGTGGCCGTTTTTGATAAAAATGTCGTTTTTTTTAATTTTTTAAGCGTTTTTAGATAGCTTTCCAGTTGAAATATAGGTTTATTTTTCTAAAACCATTAAAAAATACTATGAAGTTATTAGAAGCTTCTGGGCTTATAGGGAACAACCCCCCCCTCGATAATGCGAAGCAACCCACCGGGATTAGCCTTATCAATCCCTTTAAAGTAACGACGAACGGCAATAAATAACAATTACAATAAAAATTACAAACCGATGGGGCGGAAATGTTGTTCCACGTGAGCGACACCATCGAGAGACACGGTTCCCAACATGGCCCATACCACGAATCAACTTTGGCCGCTTCTAAAATACAAACTCCATGACAAAAACTAAAATCTTCCTACCGCATTGCATGTCGTAGTAGAATTTTAGCGGGGCAATGTTCCGCTTCACCGTGTGCGTCTCCCACGGCGCGTTCAGCGGGATAGGCACGTCTCGCATCGAGCGAGCTGAAAATTAAAGAATAAATATAATACTACACTCTATGTTTCTATGGATAAAATAACATTAAATAAATTAAAAATAATCCTTAAAAATTTAAAATGAAAACAACATGATCACACCTTCAATCGTTTCCGCGCCGACGAGCGTCCCGAAAAAGTGCATGTCGGTCGCCTAAAACGTGGGTTGTTAAGAATATTAAGTTAGTATGAGTTCAGTTATCGGTTTTCATAGGTAATAATCATCAATCTACCTGAAAATAGGGCGTAGGGTAGTCTCGAAATTGTGCCGTCCACGATTCCACGTCAAATTCGCAGCCACGGGCCCATAGGGTTGAAAAGGACAGGTCAGACGGGTAGTGGCTAAAATTTTACGTTTTAAAATTTAACTTAAACATAAAAACGTTGAAAATGGTTTGTTTTTATACCAACCTGACCGGGTCGAACTCCTGGATCAGCGCCTGACATCTTTCGGTGCCGTGGAACGACGGGTCGGCGAACGCGTGAATTCGGAATTTTCGCCATTCCGACGCGAAGAGGGGCCTGAAAATGGCTCTAAAAATATGTAAATAATTTAAAAAGAAAAACAGCTTTAAGCTACAAACTACGCCAAGCCAATTTTCGTATTTTAATAGACAAAAAACGAACCGTCGCTCCGGCGGCTGCTTCCGCCAGCGCTCGATGTAGATGGCGCTGTTCTTCTCCAGTAGACTCGCGAACAGCTCGTCGATTTTTGCTTCTAAAGTTCAGTTAATTTAAATAATCAACTAATTAATTAATTATTATAAAAACGAACGTGGCAACAACGGGTTCAACTTCTTGACGGTGGCCAGCCGTTCGGCGAGCATTTGGCGTCGTCGTTCACATTCGTACACCTAAAAAGTATGGATTTTTAAAAGGCTTTTCAAACCTCATCCTCCATCAGCTCGTAATTGGCCTGCAGGCTCGTCTCAAACGGATCATCCTCAAGCTCAAGGCGCAGCTCCTAAAATCAGCAATTTGTCAAAATTAAAAAACGTAAAAATGTTATTTTGAATAACTTTAGTTGATAGCTTGAAAATCACGGACATTGATTTCGATCTTGATATCAGCCGGAAGGGGCGAATCCTTGGTGAATGGTTTCGGCTTTATATCGTGGATTATCTAAAGGTATATTTCAAATCGGGGTTTTCGGTTCTTTTCCAGTATAGGGGGGATTTAATGTTTTTAGTTAATCTTAATTCTAATCCAAGTGGAAACCCAATTTTTCCATGTTCGTCGAGAGTCGTTGTTTTTTGTGTATATTTGAACAAAAATTGTATTTTTTTACGCTTAGCAATCGTAAAAAAAGTTTAGAAAAGAAAATTACCATAATCGGCTAAGTTTAATAGCTTATTTTCGCTCTAGTAACGGTATTTGCAGCTTTTAAACCCAACCGACCTTGATCCACTTGAACGCGTTGATAAACTCGGAGAAGATGACGGCGAAGCTGAATTCGAACGGCAAGATGAAGTGGAATTGATCGGCCGCCCACGTCCACACCTAAATAATCATTTACGGGCGTTTTTCAGGAAACTACCGTATTTGAGTCGAGTTGCAGGTCACCAAACTCCCGACGAGCCGCCTCCATTTTTGGGCAATGGGATCGTTTTTGAATTAAAACTTTCTAGAGATTAGGAAAATTGAAAAAAATGGCTAAAAACCGACCGTAACGTTGAGGACCCGATTTCCGGTACAAGTGATTGTCAATTCGGGGGCTGATGCCGTGAAGCCATTGGCATGTGTCTCAAAATTTAAAGACGGCACTCGCCAGACCATCCTGAAAGACAAGACATAATTTAGCGTTACATGCGAAGTATCCAAAGTACCGTTTTAAGAGTAATTTTATTGAACTGACCGATGTGCACGTGGTAGTGACAGATCCAAAGTAACGGGGAATCGTGTTACAATCCGAACTTGAAGCGGAATGATTTCTGCTGGTTTCGCGCTGCTCGGCTTTCGTGATATCGAGAGGCAGCTGGAAAACAAGAAAATATTCGTACACCCAAAAAAAACACTGATTTTTTTCAAAGCTTAAATTGACCAATTTTCGCAAAAAAATTTACATTTTTCCACCTTTTAGTTTTAAAAAAATAGTTTTTCGCTTGGATTTTATCAAAAACTTGTGAAAATTCAGTTTATCGTTGCAGACATACCTTTTGGTGTATTTGTAGATGTGGGTCAAAGCGCGATGGATCAGCGGGCTCCAATTCACATAAAATTCACCGGACGCCGTCATCAGCAAGTCGCGGAGCGCTGTATTCGAGGCGATCGACAGGGACACGGTTTCGCAAAGCCCGCACTATATTTGAATGATTAAACAGTATCGAAAATTAAACATTTAAAATGTCGAATAAAACCTCACCAGTTCCACTCCTCGTCGACGATAGATTTCTTCTGCATGCGCTCGCCGGGCAGCACGGTGTTCGTCTTTTTTCGCTTGGCTCCAGCATCTGAACAGCTTAATTAACTGGCTTATTCCAACTATTTTAATTTAGTAAATGGCTCATTTAGGTTAACTGATCAACTAATAGTTTGACCTTTCCTACCTTGAAACAGCCGATCCGTCATCGTCTTTTCTCGGGATGAATTTCCCCGCTATTCTGAGTATCTCAAGCTGGAAAGGAGTGCCCGCCAAAACTGGGCCAACACCCAGTCTTGCATTCCGAACGGATACGGTCAGCTCGGTGCCGAGCTGCTGAGTTACCATCGCCACTTCATCGGTCAGGACGGCCAGGAAGGTGGCTTCTTTTGCCGAGGCGAATACAGCTCCTCTGAAAATAGCTTTTAAAATGAATTAAATGACCATTTAGATTTTTTAGACTGTGTGTATTTTGCCTTTTCTACCTCTTCAACCGCGCCTTGATCGCCACGCTCTTCGGCAACGTCTCCTTCGGCCTCTCCGGCTCATTGGCGGCGTTCAAGTTCGTCAGAATTTTCCCGACCTTAAAAACACGGTCCTATATAAAAATGCTTTCTGAAACCTGGTGGGCCAGCTTGTCGCTCCACTCGATCTTGCAATCATCAACACCTAACAGGGCACCGATACCATGGCTTGTTTCGTTGATCTGGAGCAGCGCCACGCCAATATAAAGCGTTTGGCCCCAGTGGTGTACATCAAAGGATGGGGCGGGGCGGTGCTGTAAAGGAAGTGCTTACCCAAGTATTTTTACAAATTTTTACAGGTTTCCTTTTACAAATTTTTCCGTAGGATACCATTTTTTAGCATAAATAGTGGCCAAAAATGGCCGTTCTCCATTTTCCGAAAAATTTCCATTTTTCTCGACGCGAAAGAACCGAATTAAACTGTTTTACCGACCTGCCCTCCAGAAGTCTGGCTTGACGCGACGAATAGGGAATCAACTCCAAGCTCGAGGTGACCTTTTCCCTAAATATATCATTTTTACATTTTTATTTGTTTTTTAATTCATAATCTACTTTTTAGCGTTTAAGAACTCACCTTCGTAAAGGTGAAGAAGCTGATCGACAACCGCGACTGAACGCCGTCCATATCCGTCACGTCGCACGCCATTTGCTCAATTTCCATGAAGAACGAGAGCGAAAGGCCGGCATTTTTGGTCAGCTTGCTGGCAGGAGATTTTCTAAACTCATAATTTAAGAAATAATTCATCAATTGATTATGTATTTTAATTCATCAAATAATCTAATTGAATTGAATAGTTACTCCTATTCCATTTTTTTAAACAAACCTTTGAGAATCTCGCTGATCCAGCACTCCAATAAAATGCGCCCGCCACCAAAGCAGGTCTGCTATCCGAAGGGCCGTGTGCACCGAATCGGATGAGATTCTGATTTCGAGAAGAGATTCCGTTCCCTTAAACCTCTTTTGTTAAACTTTAAATACCCTTACGTGGCCTTTGACTTGGAGAAGCGCCGTGCGGAGCGTGCTTTTGCCGCCTTGATCGGCTAGCAACAAGCCATCCACGCGGGCTTCTGCCGTCTCGCCTAATCGTTTGACGCCGGTTGCTTTTACGGATAGTTGAAGCACCCTGAAATCACTTCACTGTTCTTATTAAAATGTTTAGTTTTCAAAAGATCGTTTGATTTTTACAAACCTTCCATCTTGTGCCAGATACCGCAGCGTCATATTTTTCAGCCCGACCGACACTTCGCTGACTTGCCGTACCAGCTCCAGACTCCTAAAAACCCGCTGTCCCAATCTTCATGCTCATTTTTACTTGTTCTCCTTCTTCTGCTCTGCCAATAATGGACTAATCTCCTCCGGCGACTCCTCAATCGGCTCCCGTTTCGTCAATTGAAAAACTCCTCAAAATCAGTGTTTCCTAGCAGATATTTTCTGTCTTACCCTGGCTAACAGATAGAATCGGGTCCTTCATCTCCATCGCCACTTTTCGTAATAAGCCTTCCAGGGTATCGAGAGATAGTTTTAACTATAAAAATCTTTTTCTTTAATTTTGGGAAGCTAACCTGGAAGCCGAATTCGACGAGAGGTGGAGCGGGATGACTTGTCTTCCTGCGGATGATTTTGCCCTGCGCTAGCCGGCATTCGGTTTCGATTTGCCATCGGAAAAATGTGCGATATATCAGCGACGCAGGGCTAACTTACCCTTCCCGACTTCTAAAGGCTTCCACCGAGAAATCATCGACTGTGCAATGCACCATACACTCGGGCAGCCATTCCAAAACGACCACGTGGGTGCGGTTAATGTAAAGAGCGGAGTACTAGACAGAAAATCATAGCTTTAATCTCCGAACTCACTTGAGCTAGAAGGCTTGCCGTCCGCGAGCTTCTCGACGAACTTTCAGGCCTCGGGCGCTTCGAGCCCCGGTTGGTGGCTTCCCGCCGGAGCTCCTGCTCGTCCGCCTCGATGCGTACATCGCCAAGTTCGACACTTATAGGTTTACTGAATTTCAGATTACAGCGCATGCTCATCACTTTTGCTACCTAAATTTCTGCGGGAAAAAGCGCAGCTGGACGGCGTCAACGTGGAATGTTACGCCGCTTCTCAGACGTACGCGGACGTCCAAAAGACCGAATCGACTAGAAGCAGTTAGTATTAATGGTTTTTAGATAAAACCTGAAGCCACCGACGCTGATGTGAGATCCAGAGAAAATGGAGAGTACCCGTGAGATGAGCCAAGCGCTATACCTAAAAAATAGCCTGTGTTGCGACAATCTCTGCCGAAAACTCACCGAAAAAGAACCCAAATAAAAGCCGTAATAATTAGCAGGAGAATCGTTAAATACATTTCGCGAGATCAACTCAATACAGCATCATTGTTGAATGGCAGTCCTAAGCCTAGATTTTCTTTATTTCACTGGAATTCAGGTTTTTTTAATAAAATAAAGTATAATTGTCGTGTTTAGTAACATGTTTGGTATCAGCACGACGTCGAACAACAATTTATTCGAGCAAAAACGCCAGATAAGTGAAGGGGGAGCACCTAGAAAAATGCCTTCTTCAGGCAGAGGTTTGGAATGACTAGTTTTTACAACATTGGGAATTTTGGAAAAGGTACCCTTAGACAGTATTGCAGAGATTCCCGTCGACTGGCAGTCGCAACATAAAAAAGTGTAAGGGAATGGAATTAACCCGGAAGTGCATGTGATCACAGGGTGTATGGCGGGCCGGGGGATGCGGATTAGATACATAGAAGAATGGTAGAAGTTCCTAAGTATCGGGGAAAGCTAGAGTAAATGCGAGAACGATCAGACATCCAAAGCACATTGCGCCGAGTTTCGCCAATCGGAGGCCCGGCTTTCCGAGTTCATGGGGGAGGATCTAAAAAATAGATGCTGAAGGTTGCAAAGGCGTTTCAGTGTGGAATCCGATCTCTTCCTTAGGATTGAATTTTTCCAAAAATTTTTGAAAACTTTTTTGCACTATTCTTAAGACTTGAAAACCATAAAAATCTCGATTTTTCCACCTACACCGGTCATTTTTTAAAGGTTTTCACCTAAATTTCTCATTTTTAGACAGTTTTTAAAGCTGTCTAACTAGTTTTTTCGTTGAAATATAGTAAAATTTATTAAAAAGACTATTACATCTTATAGAACCGTTTCAGCTCACCTCACAAGTCGTAATATACAAAAAGGTGCCGCAGGAGAAGCCCTGAAGAACCGTCGTCACGAGCGCCGCCGTCGCTCTCGAGCCACCGGACAGGAAATGCATCAGCGAGATTCCGGCCAGGCCGCCGATCATCACCTAAGAAATTTAATATTTACTTGAAAAGCAATTTATAAACCCCACCTGTATCGCCAGGATCAAGCCGCAAATCACGATAACAAGTTGCCGAAGCCCGCTTTGCCACAAACGGATACCCAGCGTGAAGCCGATGATCGTTTTGTGGATCGCGAGGGCTAGGAAAATCTAAAAACTAAGTGAGAGGATGTTGGATTTTGAACCTGTAGTAGTTTTGCTGGCTCGTCAATAATCGCCAGAGAAACACCTTCAAAGAGAGCGTGCACCGAGATGGCGACCACCATTATGATGGCCGAGAGAGCCGCACTGCTGTCGGGAGCTTCTTGGATTCTGGATATGTTAGAAAATAATTTGTTAGCGGGGGGGGGGGCTTAACTGCCTAGCTTTTCCTATATTCCTGTAGGTATCACCCTATTATTAATTAGAAGCAATTTTATAATAGCATTTCACGACTTTTTAGATCTAAATTGATAAAAATCATTAAAATTCTCAAAATTTTTAATCTTGCTCAAAACCGTACGAGAAATCTTCGAAAAACCAGAATTCCACAGATTGTTTTTAAAAATTTCTTTTAATTGGATTCATCTTTTAATCCAATCTGTAATCAAATTTACATACGCTGAATGTTCGTGTGACGCGTGCGACTCTCCATGGTCGTGATCATGTATTTGCACATGCGAGCCGCCAATCACCCCGATTTCTTGCAAATGGATGGCCACCTAGAAACACCATTTTTTGAACACGAAGGGCAACAAACCTGCTCAATGGTCAGCACGATCACAAAACCGAGACCGAGACAAGCCTCTGCTAGCGGAAATTCCATGTCGATTTCGGCCTGGAATTTTCATGTTAACCCAGTTTATAAAAAACCTTTTCTAACGATTCCATGGCGTCGGGGAGAATATCTAGTAGACAAGTGCTCAAGAATACGCCACCACCGATCATCGAAACCAATGGGAGAACGGCTCGTTGAGCCCACGGGGCTTGAAAAATTCGGGCCAGCTGAAATGTAGTTTTATGAAAGAACTAAGAATTACAAAAAGAGTCACTTAGCGCTTTTGCAGCTTTTTTATTACGCATTATTTTTAATCACTCACCATAAAAGCTCCAAATGTCATCGCAAACAACAGGAACAAAATCAAGGCCCTCAACGAATCGCGTGGACCATCAGGTTCGTAGAGGTCGCGCTGTAAACAAGCATATAAGCTTTACCCTAAAATTGTAGCTTCCGGGCCTTGTATCTTCTTACATCATACCATGAAACTAAAACGAAAAACCCTCACTTCTAATCTTTTTATTTCCGGGTGACAGCTGTCGGTGCGGGTGCTCGGGAACAGAACATCAATCCAGTGCGGCTTCATCTTTTATGGATCTGGCTTAGCAACCTGTTTTCGGTCTAGAAAAATTTGAAAACAAGAGTTGACCCTTCCGGCTAAACAGCTGATGGCATCTGCCCGATGGTAGACAGAGGACATCTAATGACAGGGTGGGGAAGAGGCAAGACAAACATTAGGAAAAGCGCCCTGTTATTTTTGGCAAGTTTTCTTATCTAGCGATGAAAAAAAACGGAAATAAAATAGAAAGCGTACATATTTAGGTAAAAAACCCTAAACATCGATAGATGTGCCATTTTTCCTCAAACAGCTTGAAAACTTTTTTAACCGACAACATGAGAAAACAAGCTGAAAGACCGAATATTTCCGAAAATTACATGGAATAGCAACAAAGTTAACGTGATATCAGAAAGCCGGCTAGATGTTGACATATTTGCGCTCTTCGCCGCGCAGCAGCAGCTTTTCGCGATCCAGCGCCGTCTTCCGCTCGTCGCGCATCGCCACGCGTTCCCAGTTCGTCGCACCGCAACGCTGAATATCAGAAAATGTTTCAAGGGAAAAAGATTGGTAGCAAAAGTTTGAGTTTAAACATTAAAAAGATGAAAAAGCCTTACTTCGAAAATAAAATTTAAAAAAATACCGCGCAATCACCGGTGGGCAACATTCCGAAAGCGACGGTTCTCTGCTTGCATTCCTTACATTTGAAAAACCTAAAAAGGGTTTAAAGCTAAAATCAAAAAAATACCTCTTCTCAGCTTTATGTCTCTGCACCTCATGGCCAGAGCCTTTACACAATTCACTCTGTGATTGGGCCGTGTAGTGACACTAGAAATTTGCCCGTTTTACCCGAAATTTTAGACCCACAATTTTACAAGAAACGACGGCCACTTCTTTGACAGACATTGTGGTGGTGACGAACGTTTCGACTTTCTCACGCGCCTCCATCGTAGTCATGTACCGATCAATGGCTTCCGATTCGGCCTAATGAAATAAAAATATGAAAATTGAGCTATAGAATCTAACCTTATCGGCAGCACCCGCAAATTTGCTCTTTCGATTCATAAGCGCGTCTATCGCTGCCGAGCTCGGTCCCGGAGAAGTCGCTTCATCCTCGTGATGAGCTCGCTTGGCGCTTGTCGAAGGGGAGTCGCCTGGATTATGAAATTCAGCACCAACAAAAAAGTACACACCTGCTGCTCTTTTCCTGGGGCCAACATTGCCGTTTAGGCGCAATATTTCAGCCGCGCGTTGCTAAAATCAATGTAAAAATATGGTTTGGAAATAAATTTGATGTTCTGGGGTAAAAATTAACCTTAATCCGTTCATTTTTGTTTTTGGCAATCTGGAGGTGTACGGTGTGTTGCCAAGTCCCTCAGGCCCGATCGCCAACTTTGGGCTCTCCTCGGAACGAAGGGATGTTAGCTTCCTAAAACCCGGAAAAATACTGCAAATAAAGTTACAAACATTTTTCGCAGGCGCTCCACACGGAGATCTTCGAGTGTTGTTTCGTTTTCCTAGGAAAACCTGATTTACGCGCTACAAAACGCACCTTCAAAAATTCGGTGATTGAGCCAACCACCGTTGGGGAGCTTGCCGCAGAGCCGGGGAATTTCGGGTCTCTGGCCTGGCGTGCCATCATCAAATTTTTAGCACCAAGGAGTTGCGACTAAAATCAAGACTAAAAAGAGGAAAAGTAATCAAACCCTGGCGGAGACGATGTTCATTAAATTTTTCTTTTCTTCAACCCTCGAGAAAGGCCTTGAGGGCTGGGAATGGAGCTGAAAAAAATTATTACGTTCAATGGAAATTTTTTTTGTCGTGTTTTTAGAAGATCAAACATTATAGATTCAACCTATAGGAGTATTTTTATACCTGAGAAGGAGATTGACGCGGTGGGGCAAAGGCATGGCCGCGAAAACCGAGGCCAGGTTGTCTAAAAAAAGGATTTACCTGGTATAGAAAATTTTACTTACGAAAACATTCCAGCGCCCGGCGTGGATGGTTTTCTTTGGACTGGCTGTGAGCTGGACAACGCATTGAAAGTACCACTAAAAATGTGCATATTTATGGGAGAATAAGAATTACCGGTTAGCGGACAGTTTCTTGGCCTGTGACATTACGTGATAGACACAATACTCAGAAGCCGAGATGTTCACGAAATTCTGGCAAGTCCCTCCGTCGGCTTTCACGCCCTAAAAAAGTCTTCTACTTAGCCAGATAGAACTGGTTACTCGGCATTTGCCCAAGTCTGCACTCCATCCAATCTCTACGATTTGCGCTGGGCGCACGGCTTTGAATACGAGGAGCTTTTCTAGACAACATCATGTTTTCTAAACAACAAAGAACCTTTCTCATTTTGTTCGGCGACTTGTGGATTGACCAAACATACGACATTTCCGGTCATATGCTTATGATGGGTCTTGAAAGCCTCGCCAAAAAGCAGCACTTTCACAGGATCCTTTTGGCAATCCTAAGAAAAAGTATTTTGTGGAATCCCATCTTACCAGGAGATCGTGAAGCTTCCAGATCATGAATTGATTGCCGTTGGCGCTTTTCCTGACATCGCTCCGCTCGATGAGCACACCCATGGTAATGAATCCATCCATATCTAAGAGCAATAAAGACTTCCGCTTGCTTTATACCAGTTGGAACATTGGACTTCGTCAGCGTGCTAAGGCGGATCTTCTTCATACCCTCGCACAGCGAATCAAAGATATCCGAAGCGATTTTCGGGGTCCTAAACTTCAGATAAGCATTTTTTGCAAGGCAAAACCTGATATTGAACTTGAAGAAAGCATCATAAGCCACCGCTTTAGCCCTTATCGCAGTTGGAGCAGACGGTAGACCAAGTTTGGCTGTTTCCTTGGCCGGCGCGAGCTTCTGGGCAAGTTGGTGGATAGATTGGCCCGAATCCTTGTCTCTTCGTTTATCTTCTTCTTTCCTCAATAGCTTCTTGACGCCTAGCCCGGCAGCGGATAGGGGTCTAATCAAAAATTAGCTGTAAAGCCGTGAGCACTCACTTCCTTTCAATCATTTCATCGTCGTCGTTCTCCGAATCGCTGTCAAAACTCTTGACCGGAGTTGACAAGTCTTCCTCCGGCTCTTGGGAAGTGAAATCGAGGGGCACCATACGAAGACCACCATCTAAAAAGATTATATAAAAAATGGCTAAAAGCTACTTTTCGGTTTCGATGTCTTTGCTGAAGTTTCGGGGCCAACGTTTTCTTCTTCATCAGAAGACTCGAAAGCCGCAAGCATTGAATCCATTTCGACTAATAAAGAATTTTTCCTTTCGAAAATAAAAAGGAAACAATTGTTTTAATTTATCTTTACGCGATTTTAGCGTAAAAATACATGTTCAAACAAGCGCCATCACCAGTCCGACCACTACTAATCCCAAATGCATCTAAAGCGCACCGCACTATCCAAGGAATTTGAGCGCATAACGTTTTAGAAATAAAATGAAATTTAGAAATAGAAAGTTTACAGAGCCCCGATAAAGCTCAATACATGATATTTTTAGATGTTGTCGGTGGCGCGAATAGCCTCGAGCCGCACACTGGCCTCAAGGCTGGTCGTCGCCAGCACCAGCTCGTTCCCCGGGTGCAATTTGCCGCTACAAAGACGAAATCTCTCTTCCAAGGATGTCTTCAGCTCTCAGGTTAGTTAGCCTCTCTTTCGCTGGATAACCGCGTTTAGGCTCCTACCGGCTTCTCGATTCCGGATGTCCCATTGCCCAGGCCGCCCACGAAATCTGTCGAAGAGCTCTTTGAGTCAGGCGAGTCGCAAAGTTTTGAAGAAGATTGTATTTTTCAGGTCAATCAGTGTTGGAGGAACTGGGCTTGTGGTCATGGTGGAAGCCATCTTCCTACTTCCGTTGGGCCCTCGAATCAATTCACGTGCATCTCGATGTTCCATGGTGGACAACAATTATTTGCGGTATTCAAGCTTTCCATTCCTGTATTGTTTTGTGCAGCAACTGTTGTATTGCGATTGGCCCTGATCGGAGTTCCGATTATGTCTCAAAAGCTCGTCGCTAAGCAGTCTGCACATCGGAAAGAGCTCGACGCTTTCCGACTGCGAATAGAGGATGCTCGCAAGGAGGGGAATATGCTGGAGGGTACCTTAATTTCAGAAGACCTAATGCTTGGAATTTAGCCCAACAAGTGCTGCTCGAGCAACGTGATTTCCTGAAGTCGAAAGATATCAAACTTGGGCGCCAATTTGTGGTGATGGTGGCCAACGGCAGCGTGTTTCTGACCCAATTCTTTGCGTTGAAGAAGATGATCGAAGTATCGTTATTTTGAGCGTTTTTAATGTGGATTTTAGGTTAAATACCCGGGTCTTTCCACCGGCGGTACTGCGTGGTTTCCAGACTTGACCGTCTCTGATCCCTACTTTGCATTGCCGATTATTTCCGCGGCCACGTTGGCGCTTGTCACTAGGGTATGTTAAATTATGGTTTTTCTTAAGCTCTCAATATAAAAATTTAAAATTGCAATTTTGTAAAATAAATCTTTGATTTTATGTTTTTAGGTGGGTATCGAGACGGGCCAAACCGCCGATCAAATGGGGCCCGCGATGCGCATTGGCATGCAATATGTGATGCCGGGTGCTGTGCTCATCTTCTCTTCTCAATTCGCATCGGTATGTTTCCAATTTAAAAAAGGAATATTTATTTATTTTCAGGGTCTTTGTGTATATTGGTGCGCTTCGAACTTTGTCTCGCTGGCCTTCGCCGGTGCCTTCAGAACGAAGGCTATTCGGAAATTGTTCAATAGTTGGTTTTGGTACAATATTTGAATGATTTTTTGCTTTGAATTTTAGCTATTTTCCTAATTTGTGCCGCCATCGGATAGATCATCAAAAATATACTAGAAAATAATCTCAGCCTGAACAATGTAATACAAAATAGTTACAGCAAAAACAAAAGTACTCCTTGGAAATGAGGTCCGTTTCAGATCCCTGATCTCATCAAGCCCACTGACGTCAAGAAGCACAGCATCAGCGACTCGTGGCGCAATTATAAAGGTATCGTTCTAGCATTAATATCACAAAATTTAAATTCTAGCAAAGCAAAATGCGCCCCCGACACTGAACACACTACGGCTTGAGGATGCCAAGCGTTTCAAGAAAGCCGGCCAGGGCAAACCTCAAGTCTGACACCCTGACTCGTGCAACCACCGTTTTGTTCTTTCCCTTTTTGCCCATACACTGTTGTGGTAGACTAGCATAGATTATTTGAAGATTGTTTTGTTTTCCGTTTATAAAGCTCTTATTTATTTACACTTGGATTGAGAAGAAAGGGTTACTGTGGCTGAGATCAGAACTTGATACTATTTTTCAGTTCGGCGGTGTTTCGGCCTAATTTGAGGTTTTTCGTCAACCAGTTGAGTGATGTGGGCGAGGCGTTGCCGTGGAAGAGGAAGAAAGAGCCTAGGGATTTTATGTTGTAGATGAAGATAATACGTACCTCGATTGAACGGACTGAAAGGGGCATAGTCTGCAAACTGTGGATAGTTGGACGGGATTTGATCTTCTTGTTTTAGGGTCTGCCGGCCGAAGGTTGACCCGGAATTTGATGGACGCGAACTAGCGCGTTGTTGATTTAGCTAGAGATTGGGTTAGAACACGTAAAATTTTTCTTACTTGAGCGAATAGATCAGACGGATCGGGGGAATGGGAGGAGAACTGCAACGAACGTCGATTCTAGAAAGACATGGCCTTTTTTAGGTTTTCTAGATTTTACCATGGCCAGCCCGCTGACGCCTGTAAGTTGTTTGGCCGAATCCTGAGTTGCTGCGCTTCGGCCAAGAAATATGTCACGTCGCCAGAGTTCTTCCGCTCTAAGAAATTACGGTACTTTCGCATTATCGGGGGGGCACTTTTTTCTTGGGATCGAATTTTGCCCGTATAAATACTGGCACTGTTTTCTAGTTTTCACTATTCCTAAGCGTAACAAACTATACAAATCATTATCAAAAAATACAAAATTATCGATTTTTCTATAAAGTTTGAATAAATAAAATTTCCGACCTTTTTTTAATAGTTTTCCGCTTGAAATCTCGTTTAATATTGCTAAAACCGATATGATAATACTAGCTATTACGCTATGCTTAGGGATATATGGACTGACGGGAAACCCCCCGCTAATGCCAAAGAACCGAACTTTCCTACCACAAAACTCACTTGACAACGCAAAGGAAGACTAGAGAATAAGTAAATCGCATTTTGGCTGTAAATGAGCGTGCAGTTGGAGTGGGGGGAATCCTTAAATGATGCTGGGGGAAGACGGTTTGCACGTGGGCGATCTATCCGCTCACCTTTTTCCGAGTCAAATTGAGCCCGGGCCGTCTGGTCCCGCCACATCATTGCCTCGAAATCCTGGATTGCCGGCGACAAGTTGTGTTTTTATCCAGGCTCTCGGGGCACTTCCCCTTCCTTGTACTGATGGGCGAGTTTTTAGTTGTCGAGTGGAATCGGGATGACCTTCGGAGTCTGACGGGTTCAAGAAAATGCAGGTCCCATCGGCGTGACAATTTCGAGCCGTTCGAGCGGTGATTTTTTATGAAAATGACCCGTTTTTCAGGTTATCAGTAGCTCCATGAAGGCATCTTTTTTTAATAGTAGAAAAAACATTTGGTTTAGCGCGACAAAATTTTTTTTGGAGGTGAATGATTTTTAAAAATTTGTCCGGAAAAACCTTGTAACGTAATATTAGCTATTTTAATAGGATTTTTAGTAAATTGTAATTATATTTCAAGTTGATATGCTATCCAAAAAGCTTTGAACATTTTTAAAATTGTCGAAAATCGGCCATTTTTGCTCTAAAAATCTTTAATTTTTATTTTCTGAACAAAAATAAGTCATTTTTGCGTTTAGAAATAGTTAAAATAAGCAGTTTAAAAACCCTCTATTAAATTAGAAAAATTAAGTGCTGCGGAAAAAATTCGGTTCCCTCCTCTGATACCCCCCCGATAATGCGAAAGTACCTGAGCATCAACTGCACCTTTCGTAGAATCTTTTGATTCCCTTAAAATTTATAAAAGCGTAAAGTCCTATAAAATATACCCTGTATTTCCCGCTGTTCCCCTGGCTTCTCCTGTCCACTTCTAGATGTATCAGCCACCGGAGAAGAGCGGCTATTTTGGGGGGTGCTGTGGCTCGATTACCACAAATGCCGATTCACAGAATGCCGATTTACAGATGCCGATTTACAGAATGCCGATACAAAATGCCGATTTACAGAATGCCGATTTTACAAAATGCCGATTTACAGAATGCCGATTTTACAAAATGCCGATTTACAGAATGCCGATTTTACAAAATGCCGATTTACAGAATGCTGATTTACAAAATGCCGATTTACAGAATGCCGATTTACAAAATGCCGATTTACAGAATGCCGATTACAAAATGCCGATTTACAAAAGCCGATTTACAGAATGCCGATTTACAGAATGCCGATTTACAGAATGCCGATTTTACATAATTTGGGTTCTACATCCAAAAATACAAACCGGATCCCCAGAAAAACATCATCCGACTTGGCCAGGCGAATTACGAATTTTTCCGCGTAGGGATCGGGGATTACAGAAATCGCAAGCCTCGCGACAAGTTCAACCATGCCTTTCGCTGGTCGCCGATACTCCAACGTGCCAGCCCAGCGACAAAACTCAACGATTCATTATTATTTTTTGGTTGACAATGCGTCGAGAGGAAGGGAAAACTGTTTGATAGAAGAATTTAATTTAGTAGCCAATGGGCGGCCCCTTGGTGACGTAGAACTAAGGTTTCTCTTAAAAAAAGAACATAGTAAAGCTAGGCCTCAGGTCTGGCGGTTTCGCCATGTCCAAGTCGGATAATGGTTTTTCTGCGGATCCGGTTTGTATTTTTGGATGTAGAACCCAAATTATGTAAAATCGGCATTTTTTAAAATCGGCATTCTGTAAATCGGCATTCTGTAAATCGGCATTCTGTGAATCGGCATTATCAGCCTATACCCTGTGGCTCCTCCTGACTCCCCATAAACACACAGTACAGAAGAACAAAATTTATTCATAGACAATCGGTCAACAATTTATTGCTGAAATTTGAGATTTTCGTGAATACCCATAGCTAAATAGTAGACTGGTACAATGACTGAAAGAGACGGGAAAGCAGCATTAACTTCACTGAAAAGCTGATGGTGGACAATGGCTTTTCTGCCACGTTGCATTTTTTATAAATTGCAAATAATGCTATTAAAATAATTTATTGAAAGAACTTTATCGAAGCAACATTGAACGTCTTAGGATTCGCCGTCCGAGTTTCCTAAACATTTTCAGGTTCTTTAGGATTCGCGGGGGAAACCAATTTTTTTTTCGGCAGAAGCCTAGATTTTTTATAAATTGCGGATGCGTTTCTAAAATGTTTTTAACTATTCCTGAGCATAAAAACTACAAACATTTTAACCAAAAAAATTAAAAAATAAAAATTAGGTCGAACAGCCCTATAGAACCTTTAGGATTCGCGGGGGGAAGACCCAAATTGACCAAATTTTCGACTTTTTCAAACATTTTTCTAAATTTTTCTGAAAGTTATTCTGCTTTAAATATAGTTAAAACTTACTAAAAACAATTCGAAAACACTTTATATTTGATTACGAGGTCAACCGGGACCATCAGGAAAAAAATTGGTCCCCCCGGGAATCCTAAGAACCCATTTTCACTTTAATTTTGAAAAATTAGAAATTTTAATTAAAAATGAAATGTAAAAATTAGAAATGAACTGTAAATAAAAATTAGCAAACCTTGACTATAACGGGTAACGATGTACCCAATTCCTAAGATGCGCGCGTATTTCTGTTCCCCAGACGAATCCAGACATTCTTGAATGGTCGGATTGACACTTAATCGAGATGTGCCGCCGAGCAATAGTCCTGCTAGTCTTCCGGAGTCATTGAAGACTGGAGCGCCCGAGTAGCCTCGTTTCGAACCAGCAGTTCCGACTAAACAAAAAAAGTTTATGACAATTAACTCATTGATTAAAATAATGATAATTATTCTTACCTAGATGAACACAATCGTCCATATATCCTTCGATGGTTCCTTTTGTGATAGTCGGATTAGAAGAATCGACGCCGTTCGGATAGCCCTGAAATAAAATTGTTTAATATGTAATAAATCGGCCGATATTTCGTAAAAACGTTCCGTCGGCTACAATAAAACTAAAAATATCATACCATCATGAAGTATTTAGCGCCTCGTCCCAGACTGCCCATTGACAACTCCAGGATCGGAAAATCATTTGACTGCAGGATGGCGAAATCGAGATGTTTGCAAATGAAAACGCAAGTGACAGAAAACTCTTGATTTCCATCTCCTTTAATTTTGTACGATTGATCAAGCTTGAAGGATAGATGCGCAGCGGTTAAAGCATGACGCTCATTGATTAAAACACATGTTCCTGTCAACTTGTTGCCAGCAATGCGCAACACTCGGCTATCCCAAGAGTCCTTGATTGATGTGATCCCTAAACAATAGTTTTTATTAAAGGCACCCCACGACCGTCGACTTCATTTCTAAGTACACTATGACTTTTTGCGGCCGCCGCAGAGAGAGAGACAAAAGGGCATAAAAGAGACGAATGAAGTCAGAGATAGCTTTTACAAGGCGCACATGAACTTTAAAATAAAGTGAAATATAAAGTGAAATTAACATTTTCCCAAAGCGTATCAAGAGAGCTATCAACTGTAGATATAAGCCAGTATTCCTACGAAATAAGTGGTCACTGGGTGTCTTTAAGTACATATCCTACTTCCACTATGACGAGGTAAAATATGAAATTAAAATTACATAATTTAATTCAAAAATAGAGGGATAAGGGGAAGGGTTCTTTGGTCGGGGTTAAACATAACATACTGTTCGCTTTCTCCACTTCAAACGGACTCAGTGGGCGTTCTAAATGATAATTCAATTATATATGAAAATTCAATTATATATTAAAGTTACCTTGAATGTCCATTGACGTCGTTGGTCGAGACGGAACCCTGTCCGATTGTGCGAAAAACTGCATAGTCGACCAGCCATCCGGAAGCAAAAATGTTGTGCCAGTTTCATTCATTCTAAATTAATTGCCATATAATCAAGAGTAACACAAAATGTAACTTACCCGCAATTAATCTGCATGCCATTGGACTCAAACGACAACGCCACAATTGCATCTGACGGAAGAAGAAAAGCGTGTCTGATAGAGCTTTCGGTGATGATATTTCCAGACAATGCCACGTTCTTTTCCTTGTCCCTCATATTGATTCGAATTGACTGCGCCATTATGAGAAGAAAATAAATCTGAAAAACAATTAATTAATTTGATAGTCAGCTCCTAGAAGAATAGCAAAACATCGAATGGAAGAGAACGGAGAACTCACCCAACCGTCTCCCATATATGAATGGGGGAACGCTAGCCCAACGCGTCTGCGTGTTGCGCACGGGCGTTCAGAGCGTGCGTGGGGGGGGGGGCGTGGCCGAGTGGTCTAAGGCGCCGGTATGAGCCACAGTCTGAGGGTGCGGGTACAATTCCCCACCCTCAAAAGAGCGCGTTAAAGACCGTCAGAACTCTGGCGGGGAACGGCGCTTATCAGTTTGATCAGATCGTTATCAGTGGGCAGATAGGCTATGGGCCGGCTCGTTGCCGTCTTTTCGGTCCCGGGGCGCAATATCCTCCCATTATGCGCACTTTGGCAACGCGCGGTTCCAATTGCGTTTGGTTCAGGTGTCCTTTTGGTTTGCCACCCTCGGGGTGACAGTGCGTTCCATCGTTCTGACAGTCTTTAAAGGGATGCCGACGGCATAGTCAATCGGTTACGCGCTGGAAAGAAAATGCCTCTGCGCCTCTCCCCTGGGCGCGCTCTCTCCCCTGTTGGCTACTTGCCAATTTGTTGATGGGGGGGATCGACACCTGCCGTCGGCAGCCACCTTTTGCTTTTTGCGCCAAAAGCCCGGAAAAGTCCCAATAGATGATTTATGGCGCATAGTATGCGAAAAATTAATAAATTAAAAGCTTGCCGGAATCGCGACAACAAATTTTAGCCTCCCAGGACCAAAAAAGTGGCTTATTTAACATTGTCAATGCTTTCCCAAGCAAATTCAGTGAAAAAACCACAAAGAATGAGCCTAAATTCAAATAAAAACGCTTCGCACAAAGGACTGAATTTGACACTTTTTTTGAGCTAAAAAGCTATAGAAGTCCTTATTTCTGCTGTAGATCGGCCTGAGACCTGTTCCATAACATAGCCCAGACTCTTCTCTACATTCCTAGAGCAGCCCTCCCGATTCAAATGGCGTTTTCAAAAGTTCATGTCGAGTTGAGCAAGTTAAAATCCAAAAAGCTTTGACCATTTTAAATTGTCGAAAATCGGCCATTGCTATAAAAACTTAATTACTTAACAAAAATAACTAATTTTTGGGTTTAGAAATAGCTAAAATAGCAGAAAACCCCATTAAATAGAAAATATGCTGCGGAAGATCGGTCCCTCCTCTGATACCCCTCCGATAATGGAAAGTACCGGAGCATCACACTGCACCTTCGTGGCCTTTTGATTCCCTGTAAGCGAATCCTATGAAATATACCCTGTATTTCCCGCTGTCCCCCTGGCTTCTCCTGTCGATGTATCAGCCACCGGAGAAGAGCGGCTATTTTGGGGGGTGCTGTGGCTCCTCCTGACTGGCCCCCCAGGCATTCCAGGGGAGGGTGTCTCGTATGGCGCTCCTAATTATGCTCGAAGGGCTGGAGGACGAGGCCGAGTCGCGGCACACACGGCTCTCAGCACACCGCAAAAAAGATACTCTCGGCGCTGGGGGTCTAAAACAACCGGAAGTCCCGCGTTCCTTGCCCAGCTAGCTATGTGTATTTGTCGCGGCGATCACATGCCTTATCGGGGAGTGTTTTTAGGAGCGTATGGTTGGCTTTTGGGGGAGCTGCTGCTCATATGGCTGTTGGTAGGGATCAGGTTTCTGCTGGCGTGGTTGAGGGCCATTTTTGGATGGAGAGTTGGATGACCGGGGTCTTGGTTAGTTAGTGCGTGCTTGGTAAAGCCAGGCGCGTGGGCATATTTTCCCAAATAATACAGGTTGGAACGAAAGTTCTGTCGCCGAGATTTTGGAGGGCTGGCTAAATTCGTAGATAGCTCCATTCTGCACATGCGATATGTCATTTTGTAGTTCTCGGCTTGAATGGTTCCGGGAGGAGGGTCCTGGGCCCTCAAAATAAAAAACGGCCGAGATACAGGCCCAAGAAGATTTTTCAAAAATTACGAGGAAGTGTTTTTGCAAGTTATCTCTGCATAGAGAGATTTGCATGCGATACCTTTAACGCCAATCGATAGCTCTCAAGGAGTAGATATCGATAGATGTTGAGATCATCAAAGTTGGACACTGGATGGCCGAGCTATGGCCTCTTGAAATTTGGCCCATTTCTTAGAACGTTTCTCGATTTCCGATACATTTTCTCAAAATCCGCGCCGCTAGTCTCGGCGACAGAACTTTCGTTCCAACCTGATACTTTTCGAAAGTTTGGAAGCAATTTCTTCAGCCTGCGCCCCGACTCAACGACTCGATCGAGCCTAAAATTCTGGGTTCTTTCGCATTATCGGGGGGACCGATTCTTTCTACAAACCTAGAAGTGCATAATAGCGTCTAAGTTAGTATTTTAATCGTGTTTTTAGTAAAATTTAACTGTATGTAAAATGCAAACTATCATAAAATTTTTGGATTTCGACATTTTGGTCGAATACTCGCTATTTTCTGGATTTTATAGCTAAAATTTGTGAAGTTTTTGCCTTTGACAACAATACACAGTTGAGAAACATTTCCACTTTTTTTATTAGCAACATAGGATGCTAAAGGAAAATTGCCCCCCCCCCGATAATGCGACAGAACCAAATTTTGTAAAGATTTCCCTTTAAAGGGCCGGCTTAAAGTAGTAGTAAGTTTTTTAACTCCTAGCATCCTCAAAAATTCCTTGAGTACCTACACTTTAGGAAAAACTTTAGGAGAATGATTTTTCGCCAATCTTCTTTTCAGAAATCGAATTTCGGCCACTGAAATCTTCGCGGCGCACGAGTTGCCGTTACCAAGGCCGAATTTCCCCCGCTCAATGGATTTTCGGCTTGATTGGCCGTCCGAGATCAACGTCTAAAACGCTGTTCGCTTTTCCTGGCTAACCGACAGCCATGAGGATTAGATTACGGGCGGCGCAGTATTTTTGCACCCCCGAAAAGTCATCAAAACAGCTTTCCGGAAGAACCGCAAAGAACCAAAAAATGGGCTTGGTGAGAGCCGTATGAGCCGATTTGCCTCGCAAACGCGCACATTTGGCGCCGTCCAAGGGATAATTGCCGGGGGTGGCCCATTTAGGATGGGCTTTTCTGGCACAATGGCCCACACAACTTGGCTCGCAGCTTTTTAAAGGGATTGGCAAGGGAGGTAGTTAGCCTCCGCAACGTCACAATCCTGTATACGCCTTGATTTCGTACGCTGGTTGCAGTAATTTTTAAGATTTTCTCTCTGTTTGGGACCATTACCATGCAATTTTACGCGTAGAATACAACCTAGTGCTGAATTTACTTAAATTAACAAAATTTAGGTTCTAAATTCCAAATTTTGGTGAATTTCAAGCCTGGGCTAAATTGTTTGTTCGTTGAAAACGTTTTAATTCTGAAAATAGGGTTTTACAGATTTAGAGCGCTAAAGGATAGATTTTCGAGTTTCTAAATGATCGAAACACTTTAAAATTGGTCGAAAATTGGGAACCTTTTATCGAAAAATCGATTTTTTGCATTTTAATGAAAATTTGTAGTTTTCAGTTTAGAAAAGTAATAAACCTGTGAGAAGACCCTCTATTTATCTTTGAAAAAATCGGATCCTTAGAAAAGTTGGTTCCCCGATAATGCCAAAGAACCGAACATTTCCCAAAATCATAAATCACCGGCCCGAACTCCATGGCGTTCCGGATTTCGCTCGATTCCCTCATTTTTTCACGCCTCCGTCCCGAGCCTATTTTCACCCGGCCGTCAATACGTTATTTTTGCGGAGTGGAGGACACCTTATAGGGGTTGGGGGTATGCTGGCTAATTGGATACATCTCCCGCGAGGGCCCCATCCATGCCCAACCCCCACACAACTCTCCACGCCTTTTTTTCAGGCTCACGCTCGCGGGGATTCATAAAAGCAGCAGGGCGAGCAGGCAGCCGCACTTTTTTTGGGGGGAGCACTAGCTTTTGAGCATGGGATAGAGCCGGGGGAGGGGTTTTCACGTGTTTTAGGGGTCTATGTTTTGGTCAGAGGAGCGGATAGGCAATTTTTGTAGCGTAGGGAGCACGAGTACTTTTTAGAAAACCGAACTACAACGTATCGCTCAAACTAAAAAAATCTGCTTTTGACCTATAATTGAAAAACTAATGTGAGAATGGTAGGAAATATTTTTCGTTAGCTTTTTTGAGGTAAAAATATTCATTTGCCAGCTCTTTGGAATTCATTTACCCTATTTTCGTGGATTGTTGTTTTCTAAATTTATTTTTACCGATAAAAATTGGAATTTTCGTTAAAATAAGATAAAAGTATTTTATTTAGCCCTATAAAATTGTGCTGCCTTTAAAAACCCACGTTGCTTGCGCTTTTCACCAAGATTTTTAACACGAAAAGAAAATGTTGAGAACGCACAGGTTGCGAGTATACAATGTACCGGCGCGTCTTCAAGGCCCGAGTACGTGCCGATACCCCGCGCAGTTTACTCTATGCAGGCGTTGCACTTTCTAGATTTGACTGGGTTTTGGATCGACGATGATTTTCGATCAATCGAATCTGGTTTTCGGTACTTCTCTTTTAACGGGGGTGGGGGCGGCAATTTTATGCGTTTACCCTAGTAATCTCGTACGGCTCTATAATTTACTCCCCCCGTTAAGCTGGCAGAACCGGTTTTTCAATCCCTAAAACCCCCCAAAATCAAGCGCCCGAAAAAGCGTTTATGCTTTTGATGTGTTGTTTGTGTGTGGGTGCTGAAACAATAGAATCGAGGGGGGCTAGAGGGTGTGTGTGGGCCTGACACTCGCCTAATTGCGGGCCCATGTGGCCCGTGGAGGCCCTCAACCACCGCGCCACACACCCTTCGCCACAACGCTCTTTTTTGCGCCCTTCGACGGCGTGGGGAGCACGATTTAGGGTGGGGAGGAGGAGGAGGGGCCAGTCCAGGAGGGCCACCCTTCATTAGGCGCTTCACCTTCAAGGCGCTTTGATTCCCTCCCACGCCTCGAGGCGGGGACAGCCCATTCTCGAGATTGTCTGGAGGTGCGTTGCGGAATTTTTGAGTGAGTTTTAAGGGGCTGTGAAAGGTCTGATTCAATTTTTGGATGCCATAACCATTCTTACGTCATTTTTACCCTTTTTT